TATTATTATACAAACATGACAATATTGGGAAGTGTAACACTGCACTGATATTTAACAGATTGTTTGTATCTGTTATATAATGCCAATCAATATTGACATAATTTTGATTGACTGTTTTGTATTTTTGAATACTGTAATAACAATGCGTCATAAAGTCAATTTCGATGTATGGCGGCCCTTTTTAGGGTTTTCCAGGTAGAGAATACTCAGAAGTGATTTACCAGAATTCCCTTCTTCTGGGGGAACTCTTGAGACTGTGCAAATTGCCCAAGGCTACACAGGCTGGCTCTACTTGCATGAAGCACAGTTGAGGAATGGAACTCCCAATGTCTGGCTCTGCAGCCAGATGTCCAAACCACTGAGCTCATTAATTCATAGTGTCATTGTAAGATGGAAGCAAGTGGAAGTAGAGGAAAACAACATAGATTTCCATCTTTAGAACACCTTGCGTCCAGCTTTTTGGAAATGTCATTGGGACCTTAACAGGCGATAAACAAAAGATTTGACCCTGTTAACAATGTTTGATCTTCACTAATGTTGGGGGGGGGAGAACATGTTCTCATTAAAAAAATAGAGAATCCACTCAGGTTAACTGGACAAAAATATCCATGTTATAATGGTTACAAATATACCATTAGAAGTTAGAACCTAACAAAGAAGGCAAAAAAATGTATTGGGGAATGCTAGTCGTACTACTCTCATGGCAGGAGAATCACTGAAATGGAAAAAGTCCAGCTATACCTCCTTTACTATATTAATTTTTTCTAAGCTGTGCATTCTCTTTTATTCTGGATGAAAAATGAACTGAGATTCAGAATCAGAAATGGACTTTATGTTTGTAGTATACTGCTACAGTCTGTTTCTAAAAAGGACAGGCTTTTAACAGAAGTTAGTTCTCTTTCCTTTACTCTATCTAATTCAGGTAAATCATTACCTGGTAGTGATATGGCCATTCCTCATGAGCCAGTTGACCAGTTCCTTCCCAACAATGCAGTTGGGATGTGTGCGCAGCCAATAACGATGATCCTGGAACTCCATCCCACTGTTGTGATGGCATATTTTCTTCCAGAGGTCTTTCAACTGGACTGAGTCCTAGAAGGCAAAGTGATGACATTTCTGAGATAATGCAGGCTTAGCGAGCTTAAGTGTTCTCCCTTCATCTTGACAAGGGCTGATTGCATCTGTTGCAAAGTGATCTACAACGTCCCCACCCCATCCTTGCCTGTACCACAATCAATGGGCATTTTATAAAAGAACAGATAAGATACATAGTTCATTTCCAATCATAGATCGTATGACACTCTTTTTCAGTCTAGTCATGAGTTACTACAGAAGACAAAAAGAGCCAAAAGCCAATTTTCCTTTCACCACCAGACCGTTTGTGTAATGGTGCCTGTTGATTTTTTTTCTCTCTCTTCTTCAAAAAGCAATGAAGGGAGATCTCTTCAACAATTTGTGCTCTTTACATTTAGCACTGGAGAAAGTAACGTGGTGCCTACGTGTAGCACCCATGCACTCATACACCACTCAGGGTGCCTGTGGAAACTCCTTCCCTTCCTATTTTAAGCCTCCCTTTTGTTGTTGTTTTTAAGTTAAGAATTCTCCTACCTTAGGTGCGTTAAAAGCAAAACCATTGGTCTCTGCTCTATAGTCACTATACCTTTACCTTATAGGTCCCTGGAACCAAAGCTTTTTTTTTTAATGAAGAGAGAGGAGCAGTTCTGGATTTAGGAACTGAACGGGAATATAATTTAGCTCTTTATGATAAGCAGACTCCCCATCAATTTTGTGAGCATGCCTATCTTAGGTTTCAGGAGCTCTGGACACATCAGAAAATTAGGGAATTCTATCAGCTCTGATTTGAACAGGCCAAATGCTAAATATTTAGAAAAGTGTTGAATTATGTTTTTTTTTAATGGTAAAGAAGCCTCACCTGTCTACTATAACAGTGGTCCCCAACCTTTTTTACACCGTGGACCGGTTGAGGGGAATGAGGTCCGTGCACAGGGGGGCAGGTCACCCCCGCACTCTGACGCATGCACGAAGGGGTGGCGCTCACACTGGCGTGTGGGCACTTGCACGCATGCGCAAAGGGGCGAGCACGCACACACACTTGTGTGCATGCACAAAGGGGCAGGACGTGCTCGCTGGGTGCACATGCATGGGTGGGCCTGCGGGGGGGTTGAAGATCTGTGCCCACGGTCCAGTCCAGCCAAGGCCACGGACTGGCATCGGTCCACAGGCCAGGGGGTTGGGGACCCCTGCACTATAAGACTTACACAATGTTGGACTTTCACAGCAGACGTAGGAATGAAACAATCTCCTCTGTGTACCTCAAAAAACCCCAGAAATAGTTTCTGAGCAGCTTGAAACCTAAGTAGAGAGGGGAAGGGAAGGAAGGGAAGTTCCATTCTGTTGGTGCTGTACCATCACCACCATATTGGACTTTGGCCCTTAAGTTTTACACTTCTTGAAATGTTACAGTGTAATTCTCAGAACTACCCTTGCTTTGGCACCCTTCTCACCCTCTCAGTAGTTTGCACTCCTCCTTGTCTATGAGACAGAGCAGAGGCATGCACTAACAACTCTTTGCTGGCACTGTCTGCGTTCCAAGGAAAAGAACTTCAAAAGAGCAGAAAGTGAACAAGGGAAGAAAAAACAAAGTTTTGGTTCCCACCTACCCACCCTAAAAAGCAAGCCTTTGAAACCATTGTTACAAACAGACCACATGGGAAATACCACCATGTATTGCAAACCATATTAGTAATTATCTCCTTAATAGTGACATATTTAGGACGCTTCACACATGCATACACATCAAACACTGGCATGTCTGGGATGGACACTCAGCAGGCATCACCTGAAAAGACATTACTTTTCAACGGAGGCAATTCAGACTTAAGATGCATTGAGGAAAAGCATTTCCAGTTACTCGCATCAAGGTGTATACAGAAGAAACAGGTTCCTTGCTCCAAGAGCTTTTACATGAAGCGTTTTTGTGCCACAGAAAAAGATGTAACAAATGTACACCCATGTGCACAAGCAACACAGTGCCAACATATTTTGTAGAACTGATCCAAAACAGTAACTCTGATTATAATCTTGCACTGCCCACACATTCAGCAATTCTTGAAAAAGCTTATTTAGATTTTCTTAGAGTCCTTTATGTTCTGTTTATGTAGCCACTGAAAAGCAGAAAAGAAAAAAGAAAGAAAAAGAAGAAGGAGTGCAGTGGGGAGAACTTGAAGGAAATTTTAATCCAAAGCAAGCAGTTCAAGAAATGTTAAAGAACCCAACTGGAATTGTGAAGCCTCTGGACAAAAGTAAGTTCCCTAAACTTGACTGAATGAACAGTAGGATCATACCCATTCACTAAGTCAGAACAGAGATGGCCCAGAGCAGTTTCCTTAAGAAACCGAAAGTAATATACAGTAAAAATATTAAAGGATATTAGACAACATATTATACAGAGCTATGCATTTCCAGCTCTGTTGTTTGTTATGGGATCATGGACTCTAACATAAGCCATCATTTTATGTTATTTTTAAAAGGATTTTAGATAAGTTATTACTGGAGAAAGTTAAGATTTTTTTTATTCAAACAACAACCAATCCATGAACAAAGTACTAAGGCAAATGGATAAAGACCACAAAATCACACAACACATGAAGACAGCTACAATATTTTGGCCATGTAAAAAGAAACAAAAATTACAGATCATTACAGCTGATCATTCATGGCAAGATAAATGGGAAAGGGAGTATCTAATGCAGCACAGTTGCTTAGAACTTTTGCATTCAAAGCCAGAACAGCCTTGATAAACCCCACCTCTGGCAGGAAAGAAAAGAGAAAAAAAATATTCTGTAGTCAAGCTGAACGTCTTTTCAGATGAGAGGCACATGTCTGGAAATAACCTTACAAATGTTCCCACAGAACGGCAATGGAGACAAAACAGCAGGGCATACACTGCCCTGATGTCTTTGGAGAAAAGACTGGGTTACAAATAACACAAAAAATGCCAGACACAAGATGATAGGGAACAACAACAAAAAGGTCAAAGAACAGTGCAAGACATCTATCATTAAGAAAAAGGGTTCCGGAAAAAATACAGGACATTACTCATTTCTCTCAGAAAGATGCAAGATAACAATGAAAGCTTGGCTTGTACCAGAAGAATTTTGCGCTCATCCTCGTTGGCCTCCTTCACATAGGTGCGATTAGCCTGTGGGCTGACAGATGTCTCATAGGATGGCACCATAGGAGACCCCGACCGATCCAGAGAAAGGTTAGTAATGCTGGCTGACCTGGGGGAAGAAAGAGAACAGAACTGATCACTTTAAGCTACTCCCATCTCCTTAAAATTAAAGTTTAACTGCACTCGTCAGCCTTTACAACTCCGAGGGATCTCTCAGGTAACCTCTTTCTTAGCCAGCCAGCAGAACCAGTTTTGAATATCAGCAACTGGAAAGCCAAAGCTTTTTTTAAAAAAAATCCAAGAAATGCTCTCCCTCCCCCCACCCCACTTTTCGAATGAGAAGTACCAATATAGGAACAACATATTTTTAGAAATAATTTACACTATTGGAAAACAAACCTTAAAGGGTCAAAATAATTTTTTTTAAAATCAAGTGAGCAAAGCAGGGTTCATTGGCAAGGAGCCATCAATTGAAAGTTAACTGAAAAAAATCTTTCCAATTTCCATTCCCTCTTGAGGAGATGTGGAAGATGACCCATTACTATATGTTCTTAATACAAATCACATCTTGGAAGGCTACGTTTTACAATTTATGTCACTTAGTTCAAAGTGGGAAAACGGGCAGTCTCTTACTATTAAATGAGCAATTTGTGCGGGTTTTATCTGTTTTGTTTAATTTGTGTAATCACTTTTCTGATGATTTTTTAAAAAGCTGCAATGTCCCTTTGAACAGCATGAATCTGGGGAAAGAACTAACACAAATGCTACTAAGCGTGCCCTTTCAAGGGGCGGGAATTAAAAATTTTACAGTTACAATTAAAATTTGAAAGTTAAAACTAAAAGTAAAAACTAAATTTATAAAATGAGTAGAAAATGTCATAGGTTGAAAACATCTTCTCTACAGAAAACACCTAAATCCTTACAGTTCCCACTCAGTGCATTAATGCTGAAATGAAAGAAAAGTAGTAAGTCACATGGGACTGTGTTTCTTGTGACTCGTTATTTCAATATTCTGATAGAAATCATAGTATCATAATCAAGGAGTATGACGAGTCAGGATTTAAACAGTCTATTTAATCAGAGTGAGCAAAAAACAAAAAACAACAACAACAACAACAACAACAACAACAAAACCCAGAAAGAAGATTGGTATTGCTGTAACTCAATTTATCCATTATCCAAAATCTAAGGCCACATAACTTCACTTACAGCACAATTTCCATTTAATAACTATTCTAGAGCTCATTCAATTTCTGATCATTCAAAAGAAGGTAAAGGTAAAGGTTCCCCTCGACATTTAGTCCAGTCGTGTCTGATTCTAGGGGGCGGTGCTCATCCCCATTTACAAGCCGTAGAGCCAGCATTTGTCTGTAGACAGTTTCCATGGTCATGTGGCCAGCATGACTAGACACAGAATGCCGTTACCTTCCCACCGTGGTGGTACCTATTTATCTACTCGCATTTTTACATCCTTTTGAACTGCTTGGTTGGCAGGAGCTGGGACAAGTGATGGGAGCTCACTCCCTCACATGTATTTGAACTGCTGATCTTTCGACCTTGCAACCCAGAGGCTTTGTGATTTAACCCACAGTGCCACCACGTCCTCATGATCATACTAAATACGGTACATGTTTTTAATTATAATTATGGCCACATTGTAGCATTGATTATTACTAACTTGACAGAAATCCTGTTTTCTAAAGAGATGTTTTAAGCCTCAAAGAACAGCAGAACATGCAATATTTTAAAAAAAAAGATGAGGAAGATAAAGTCATAACCGGGACTCATCAAAGAGGAGGGGACGGAAAATGAACAACAAATACTAAGTTGAATTTTTCTTTCTTTCTTTCTTTTAGTGCGTACCTTTATTTCATTGAATATAAATCTAACTAGACCAGAGTTTGGAATAGTTCCTTTTTCAAACTGCAATTCCCAGAATTCTCCAATCAACCCAGGTCTGCTGTCTAGAGGTTCCTGTGAGTTTTTCCCAGAATGGAATCTTTCCTTTCTACTCTGTTTCCCCGAAAATAAGACTTAACCTGAAAATAAGCCCTAGTATGATTTTTCAGGATGCTCGTAATATAGGCCCTACTCCAAAAATAGGCCCCACTTAAGTGAAACCCAGCCTTCCACCATTGTGCAGCAACTAGAAGATGACATGAATGTATTTGAATAAACGTAGATTGCTGTACATTGAAAAAAAAAGTAAAACATCCGCTGAAAATAAGCCGTAATGCATTTTGGAGCAAAAATTAATATAAGACCCTGTCTTATTTTTGGGGAAACATGGTAAAACATGGCCTAATCCAGCAAACAGCTTCTCTGGCATGATCACTGAGATGCTTCTGGGATATTGGCAAGCTGGATGTGAAAGCAGCAGCAGTCATATGCTGTTCTCCTAGGCATCTTAGCTTGCCCAAGGCTATGCAGGTTGGCTGTTCTCCCAGAAGGCACAATAGGGGATGGCACTTCCCATCCCTGACTCCACTGTCAAGCACCCCATCTCATACAGCTACCTAACCTATATGTATAATAGTCCCTGATATATGTATATGTCCCAATAACAATATTTGTTAGGTAGATCAAGGCCAACAAGAAAAAGGGTGGGAAAATCACTGAAAAGGCCCACTTGTTCAATGGCAGCTCTTAACTTGGACAAAGAGGAAGGTTCCACAGCTCTACGTAAGATATCAGTACCAACCTTTTAGGGAGTGCCAAAAGCCCCAGCGGAATCAGTAATTTCACACACCCAGTATTTGACATCACTTCACTCAGCACTGAACCTGAGCTCTAGATTGCGTTTGCAGTGTAGTCAACAGACAGCAAGAGATCTGCAGTCTCTTCTGTGATGTCAAGCAAACACCACCTTGACATAAGGAAAGCCATTACCATTCCACAAAATGTCAACAGAAGCCAGCTTTACTTTATGGAAGCACAGAACCTCAGGAAGGCGACTGTTGCTACAGAGTTTCATACAAAGATAACCCTGCACTGGAGCTCCTCACCTGTTCCGAGCAGGGGACTTTCCTGCTTCTTCCTGAACTGATCCAAGACGGGTTGACAATGTGGAAGATGAAGAGTCTGGGTGAATTAAGCTGCAGGTAAATGTCACAAGGGTTAAATAGCTATTACCTCTAAACTGAAGCATTTAACAGAACTCAGTGTTATCTTCTGGAAATGATTTTGCTTTTCATCTTCAAAGAGAGAAATGTTTTTAAGTTACTCCTAACAGTTACAGTTAACTGATGAACTGTTACATATGAAAACATTCTTTAACACACTCCGAAGGACTTTTTTTTTGCCTTGACTGTTTTTTTCAGAATGGCAGTCTTAAACAGCACAGTATTTGTAAGTCATAACATCTGTGCTCCCTATTTCCTCCATAAAGTTTGATAGTTAGAAAAGTGGTATTTTATAAACATTGCTAAATCTAAACTATCCAGGGCAAATTACTCATCCCAGAGGTGTGAAATGTTAGATTTGACCCAAAGGGCACAAAGAACTTCTCATGTGTGCTGCTGCAAACAGGTCCTTGGGAGAGATGGTACCCATAACAAAAACTGTCCGCATGGAATCAACAACTTGGGTCTACTTGGGCACACGGCAACACTGGCCAATGCTGATGAGTGAAAGAAGTACAGTAGTGCCTCGCTTAACGACGTTAATTCATTCCAGCGAAATCGCTGTAGAGCGAAAACGTCGTAAAGCGAAATAAAAAAGCCCACTGAAATGCACTGAAAACCATTCAATGCGTTCAAATGGGCTGAAAACTCACCATCCAGCAAAGATCCTCCATAGGGGCGGACATTTTCCATGCCTGTGCAGCGAGGAATCCGTCCCTAAGCACAGCCGGAGGCCATTTTGAAACCCGACAATCAGCAAAAGCGATCGCAAAAACCTCACCGTCAAGCGGATTCGTCGTTAAACAGGGTAATCGTAAAGCGGAGTACGACTGTATATGGAAGCTCAGAGATAACGCCCTTCATGAAATCCAGCCTCAAGTACATGCTGGATGGGGAACTACTATAGCCATTCTCAACACAGGCCACATGGCCTTGGGGGGGGCACATTTGAAGAGGGCCACAGTGGAAACAATTCTTCACACATCACCTTATAAGGTTGGTTTTGTAATTCATACAATCCTAATTCAGCCTATATTTCTTTCATATTGTGTTCAAGGACATGGCCAAAATAAAGGTTGTGAATGGCTCTGTGAAACATTTGATTTTCAGCCCAGTGCCAGCAGAGGGAGCTGCGTTCATCAGGAAATGTGACAGAATTCATCTCCCAAGACAAGTTAGATTTTTAGCCTATCCCTCATCATTAAGCTTCAATGTTTGCTCTGGGAGAGATTATTGTGGGTGTTTTCAACTGTAGCTGCCACCTGACTCACAACATACAATGTGTTTGCTCAACCTCCAAGGTGCCGCACATCTCCGTTTCACTGAATCCTTCATTAACGCCATTCATTAAATCCAAAGATTTGATGAATGGTGCTTAATACTTCAACTAAAAGCAAAGTTTTGAAAAGCTACTTTCTTGCACGATGACTCCCAGAATACCCCATCTAGTGTGGCCAAAAGAAAAGCAGTTTCAATACATTACGAGGCTCACCCAATAGGAGTCATTCCATTTAGATTCAAACTGGAAAATTCAAAGAGCTCAATGCCTGCCCCATTTTCAGGCAATAAAAGCGAGAAATCTTTCCATAGAACTATGAAGGTTTTACTTTCAATAAAAATCACTACAGAACTAGATCTCTCTACAAAAGTTCCCAATAGCAACATATTCAGACCTTTGGAGAAAAGGTAGGAAGAACATCTCCTTAGAGGGCTTCAGGAGGTATTGGTGGAAGAACAGGTGCAATTCCCTGCTCAAACTGGCTGAGAAAAACTAAGAGAAGCAAAAAAAAACAAGGAACTAGCCCTGTTACACAAATGGCGGCCAAGAGAAAACAATGCCCTCATGCTTATCCTCCCCCAGCACGCATTTTTGGTGCCAAAAAAGAATGCAGTCGCAGTACATGCCCCTAGGCCAGGCACTTGGCAAATTTTACAGTCCCTAGGGACACATCCTAACATCAAGACAGCGGGGTAGCAGGAGGACACTTCAGCCTCTCGGCTCCCTCCTCTCTTTGTCTAGTTAACCATGATGAGAGCAATGGAAATCCAAGCAGCATTGGAAAGAGAAAGAAAGAGTCAAGATAGCCCAGTCGTGCAGAGGCTGAACCACATCAGATGGGGCCAGCAAATCTAAAGTTCTCTCTCCCTGCTCTACTGACACAAGTCACAAAAAGCAGAATGTGACAAATTTGTCAAATTTGAACATCAGCTAGCAGAAGCTGACAAATTTCTGAACAGGACACTGGAAAACAACTGCTGAGGCTAGATGGAGAAGAGATTTGGCAAACACTCAAAACTACGCTGAAAGATAAAATGCAAAGCCAGCGGATACCTTTGCCAGGCAAGGTCTTCTTCCAGGAAGATGTTGCGGCTAGCTTTCCTGCTGCCAACGGGAGTCCGTGGTTCCCCAGGATCCAGTGCTGACACAGAGGTAGTGGAGTCAGAGAGAACACTCAAGTCTTCCCCAATAGAGTTGCTGTCTGTGGAGTGTGCATAGCTTAAGGCTATTTTACGACAGTATGTACAAGCTCTGAGGTCACCTGAAAGAACAAAATAACATGGAATCGTCTCACACCCTCCCTGGAGCAGAACAGAAGTTCAAACATCTGGAAACGAATCCTTCTTCTGAAATTCCTTATAAACATAAATGGAACAATAAAATTTACCAGGTGGATTAAACATGGACCAATTACTCTCTCTTTTACTGAGCTCTTGTGGGGAGAAAGCAGGTAGAAAGAGAGCCAGGTACACCAGACAGAATTCATGGCCATCCCTCTGGTTCCTTTACCCTCTTGATCTAGAATAGTCTCACTAAAACAATGGCATGATGCATTAAGGAAGAGATACAGGGGAAAGGCCAAAACAGGTTTCTTCCCCAAAGAGAGTAAAAAAAAAAAAAGCTTGAAAGGAGAAAAAAGAATGGGAACGTGTGATTTAGTTAAGCACAGCTAAGGCGGCTCTCCCCCCTTTTCATGAAACTATGAATGAAGAGGATGAAGGAGCCATATATTGCTCACTTCCAAAAACAGAAGGCTCAATGGAAAAGTTCCATTCTAGAGTCCCCCATAACCTGCTTCAAGGAAATGCTCCTACCTTCCTCAAAAGACTTAATGTTTAAACACATTATTGCCTCACCTGTGTAACCCATGAATTTTCCAGGGATTTCCTGGTTGCAGCACCGGCTGCAGAAAATCTGCCCGCACAACCGACAGTGGTGTCTGCGCCGAAAGGTGGTGAATTTCTCATTACAGTCATAGCATTCCTTGCATTGGCTATCTGGCATCCAGTACTGCTTCAGGTCACTGTCCTAAAACACACAGGTAAATATTCAGTCAAGCCCCAACACAAATCAGATTTACACAGGGTATTTCTATCTCAGAAGCTAAACAATACCATGAGGTGTAACAAAGCCGTAATTAGACTACATTTGCTCAGTTGCAGCCTCAATTGGATTTCCCACAGCAAGTCCTTCTCAGACTAATTGCCCTGTGGAATATTCTTAGATTACTAATTAAAAGGTTCATCTAGAAGGCATCCACCTACTTATTCAACAGGTTTTGATGGCAGTTCACCCCCCACAAAAAGAGGCACCGACCTTTTGTGCCAATTGCATAAACAAGGGTTCTGTTCTCGATTCAGCTGACCCCCATCCTCCTCCAAAAAGTCTCTTCTGTTTTATACAACCATGACTTACTCTAGATAAAAGGATTTCCCAGATTAAACAATTCTGGGACAGAGGCTATAAAGTCATTTTTAAAAAGCAATTAGTTTCAGCTATGGTTACAAGGTCCCCAATCAGAGCTGCAATTTTGAAAAGTGCAGGGGAAAAAACCATTTGAGTAACAGCCACTGACTTTTGAGAAACAGGAAAGTAAAGAGCTATGTTAAAGATTCTCACAGTAAGTAAAAGTTACTTTGAACTACATTTTTTTAAAAATGTGAATACTACAATCCACTGGCCTGTCACACAAAATACTCTCTCCTTTCCTCTTAGCATCCATAACACAGTATACGGCAAAGCACAAGCCAAGACTTTAACTATATGATGCTTCTCTATCATTTCATGAGGTCAGACCTCAATTTAATTACATAATTAAAAGAATAAGTTTTTTTTAAGTAACAGCCACAGCCTTCTCTAGTTTACCATATTCACTGGAAAAATGAGTTAATTACAAGTAACATGCAATTTATAATTAGTAACTTCCAAGTTCTCCCAGACATTATAATTCAGTTATATTTGTTGATCCAATAAAAGGTAACAAGGGGGGGCAGCTGAAGTTTCTGCCCTTCCATCGCAAAAGATCAATTTTATACCCAATCTCAGTTGTTAAAGAAAGAAGCTTAGTTGGAAAAACTTGAAAAGTCTTCTGCCATTACCTGTTATTTCCTCAATGACTAATTACAATGACAGGTCAATAGTTGAAATTAATGGAAATTATTCTTGCTTTCTGTATTTTCAAGAGATTCTAGACAAACAGCTGGAGAAACCCTTGGCCCTCCAACTGCTGTTAAGCTCCCAAGTCTCTTTAGCCTGGCCAAGGATGGGGCCTGGCAGAAGTAGCAGTTCTACAACCTCAGCAGGATGAAAGGTACCTCCACCCCCATCCCCATTATAAATAGTGCTTGTTAAGTCTTCTCAGCAGTGGGGGAGGGAGGGAGAGAATAGCAGCCATTCATAAAATTCAGGACAGCTCTATTGTTTTAAACTGCACAGGAAAGGCAATACCTGGCTTTTTCCTTCCATGATTTCTTTGAGGCGTTTTAAGACTGTACTGAGGCTCCTCAGCTGAACAGCTGTCCGAGGATCATGCCCACCAAGAGGAGGTTCTTTTCTTCGATTTTCTGAAATGAAAAGATGTTAGCTTTTAGAGGGGAGACAGACAGCATGTGTTCGCATGTTCTCTCTGTGCTATTGGTGGAAATGTTTCAGAAAGCAGAATGAGCCGCTTCAGCGCTGCTGTTGTTTTAAAAGTATGGCAAAATATGTGTTTACCACTTTCAGAGTGAAGGCTACAACCTCTGAGATAAACAAGCCAGAGGACCTTTTGCAATGCCCTCCTTGTACGAGAAGGGACACTCTCCAATCATCCTTAAACAACAGAGATAAATAAAAAGGATCTCCCAGGACAAGGAAGATTTGATGGCATGTTTGTGAACCCATTCACTTGGAAGAAATTTGGACTGGTTTCAACAGAACGTGCTTCCAGGAAGCACAATGAAGCCTTTCAGTTCAGCCATAATCTACTTTTCTCTGCAATGCTGGACTAACTTCAGTGCAGTAAGTAAAAAGGAAAGAAAAGTTGGTTCAGCTGTGGTTGTATTAAGGCATTCTAACATAGGACTTTTCAATTTATTCTGAGAACTGGAATCAGGACTTTGAAAGATGTCTGCACCATATTCTGCTCCCATTACTTTTTCCAGAATGTACAGAAAGGAAAAGCTATTGAAAACCAGGCATCCTGATAAAAATACTTCTACCTTGTTTATTAGAACTAAGGTATTACACCACTGTGTACCCAATGTGATGTAATGATGGACTAGGACTCAGGAATCCTGAGTCTGAATCCTTCTTTGGCTATGGAAAATCAGTGATGTGGGGTTCTGCTGGTAAAAATCACTCCTTGAATATCTCACATACCTTGAAAACCCTATTAGGATTGTTGTAAGTCAGACACAACTTGAGAACACATATTGCTCACACTTTAAAGCATTCAGAGCTATGAAGAAAAAAATTCAGATACATGTGTTACATGAAAGCAGAACTCCTGCTAAGCACACAGTCCAGATCACAAAAATGGTCACAAGCATTACACAATTAATGGTGCTTGACAACATTCTATTGTTTTACCAACATTCAAGAGCTCAACTGATGTCAGCTCCTAGCACTGGTCCAAACATGTCTAATAAGGAGAAATGGGACAAAATCATTAGGCAAGAAACAGGAGTCAGCAAAATATGGCACAGCCCATGTTTGCCTGATTAAAAGCCTGCAAAAAGTTGCTTTTTTGTGGGGGTGGAATGGACTCATAAGGCTCCTTGTTCTAAAACTGGAGAGAAAGGAGGTAAACTAGGAAGCTATCTGTGGGCTTCTGGAGGCAAAGCTTGTTATAAACAGATAACAAGCCTGCAGGCAAAAGGTTCAGAGAAGGGTTACAGATTAGAGAAAATATCAGCTGGAATAGCAACTGTAAAATTAGCTAAGAAATATGTTGAAGATAATTCAAACAATACAGACTATAAGGGAAGAGTGATATGGGGAAATAAATCATTGTGCCATAGCCACTTTACAAAAAAAACTTAAGTGAGGAGAGACCAAATGATAAAGATCCAGCTATTTGGAAATTTCTCCTGAACTATAAACGTAATGATAAACTTCTGAACAAAATCACTGTTACTCACAACAAAGCTGGATCTCAGCAGATGGTTATCGAAGTTATAAGACTTCCCTACAGAGAAGCAGCTACAGGATGAAAACACTAACTTGATTTAAATCAATTAAGTCAATTTCCAACCCTCATATATACCCTGTTTCCCCTAAAATAAGCCCTACCCAAAAATAAGCTCTAGTTAAGTAAACCCTGCCCTCCATCATTGTGCAGCAACCAGAAAAAGATGACATGACTGTATTTGAATAAATGTAGATTGTTGTACATGAAAAAAATAAAACATCCCCTGAAAATAAGCCCTACTGCATTTTTGGAGCAAAAAATAATATAAGACCCTGTCTTATTTTCTGGGAAACATGGTATATACACACTCTATTTCTGCTACTAACAAACAGCAGTTTCACATACAAGTAGGAATACATAATCATGAATTTACATGAGCCAATGTGTTACCATTCTGTAATGATTTACCATCAATCATACTGAAATAAAATCACTAAACATCTTGCCAAATTATTAGGAGTACACAACATTTCCTAAGCACTGAAAAATAGCATCTGCATGTTTTTATCAAACTTTCCCTAAAATTACCGGCCTGAGCTTCCCATTGTAACACTGCGGATAGAGATGCCCCAAAGTTTGCCAAACTCCCTCTCGCTGTGACTCCTCTTTCCAAGCAGGTGCTTTTCTACATATTTGTTAAATAGAGCCATCAAGTTCCTTACCAACTGTGTCGTTCTCCATTGGGCACACATTTTATTTTGCTCCCTCTTGTGTAAGTGAAACAAACATGGCTCCTTTGTATTTACTGCTTTATATATCACTGATGTCAGCAGGAATGCTGGCAGCCCAAGGGAGAAGCGGGCAAATTAACTGTTGCTGTGCAAGAGCCAGCCTGGCAGCTTTCGAGGGAGGAGCAGCAGCAGCAGGCTTTGACTCTGTCAGCGCACAAGGACCTTTCGGCCACCCTCTGTCACTAACTCTTGTCTCCAGCAAGGACAATTCATTTCCCCGAGCACAAATAGAGCCATAACTGAAAGGAAATATTGGCATCAGGTACTATGCAACTTTGCTACACCATTCTTCACCAGTGGGGATAGGGGTGGCTACTCTGAATGGTCTTCATTGCTGAACATCCCTTTATGAAAGAACAAACATTTACACCAGACCTCAAGTAACAGTGCACTGAAGAGCTGCATCATGTGATTATTTTCCACTAGTTCCCACTCACACTTGTTTATTTTATTAATGGTATTTTGACAGTATTTTTCAGTCATACTCCCAGGGTGAAGTATGATTTATAAGAACAAAACAGCCAAAGGGCAATTGAATAATAAAAACAAATATAATGTAGAGCCAGAGGTTGAGTTCAATTCCCCACTATGGGGGACTGGACTTAATAATCCATAGAGCCCCTTCCAGCTCTGAGTTCCATGATGATGATCATGGTTACAAACTACAGGGCTGCATGAAAAAGCCAGGATTAAAATTTTAAGTAAAAATCCTAAAAACACCTTTTCAGATAACAGAATGGGAAAATGAAAGGTAGGTTAAGAAATGGCAAAAATTTATTTCCAGTGTGTTCAATTCATGATATAACAAACAGTCTCCCATAGGAGACTGTCATTTATTTCCCCTGATGACCTCTTTTTGACATTACATGTTAAGGGCCAGCAATTCAATATTCATGTCATTCTGTTAATACCACACCTGCAGCTGTTTTTATGTCCAGATTTCCAGTATAGAGAAGCTGTGCAGCAAAAAGAATAGCTCATCACATTGTACAAAGAAATTTTCATTATGAACTCAAAGAGCATGAAAGTATGCACATTGGGTCTAAAATCAACAGTGCGCTCCCACTGTCTTTTATAATCTCCTACCAATCTGCTAAAATCAAGATATGCATGAGGGAGTCTGTTCTACAATGCTCCTCAGCCCCAACCAGGAATTAAACAAGATACGCTCTGACATTCTTTCTTGAAAGACTCCAGGAACATACGTAGTCATTAGCAGCAAGTGCATGATACTGAATTTTGGGAAATTGTAAATGTTGGATCTCATTCCACACTTCTGTAAAAATAAAAAGTAAGTTTTAAAGTTAAAGTTACTAGTGAGTTTTAAAGTCACAATCAACTTTTCGAGAGACTACCACCAAAGGCTTGTTCTACACATTTACAAACTCATATTTGCTTATCTATAGAAGAAGTGGCCAGAGACGAAAGGCTCATTTACTACCAAAACAGGACTAAGCTGCAACTGGAGAGCAGAGAAAGACAATTTAGATCCCCTCTTACCTTGCAGTTTCCTCTTTTGGTGTCATTAGCATTTTCAAACATCAAATAAAGAAAATATGTCCCGTAAGTAAAAGATTTGTTCATCAATACCTTCCATTAAGAAGTAGTCATTGTCAAGCAGAGTCATATCCATATCTACTAAGTGTGAGGTAGTTAAAGCAGGATATGATACATAAATCAGAGCATGTAAATCAAACTTAAACCAAGACTGGGTGTTCTTACCTTACTACAGAAATTTAGTGACACTTTCTAGCATTGATTGCACCCCTGCAATCCCTCAACATAAGGACTGGGCTTGATCATATTTTATTTCTTAGTACAGCCTGTCTCCACCATTTACACTTCTGATTTCCAAAACAGTAGGTTGTAATCTATAAAAGTGCATGCAGGGCTGAGTCATATTGTAGGTTTAGGCCAGCATAAGCATAAATGTAATCATCATTGTCATCATATTAGAACAGCAGAGCTGGAAGGGATCCTATGGATGATTCAGTCCAGCCCCTGACATGCAGGCATAGTAGGAAATCCCAACTTCTGGCTCCAAAACCAGAAACTGCTATCCATCAATGAGCTAAACTATAGTGACAATTGCCACTAATTAATTATTTGTGGTTTACATTTCTAGTTGCACACAAAGTCACTGAACTAGAGCACAACTATGAGCAGCAACTCATGCTGACACAAATCTACACGGACTTCTGACCAAAATCTCAATAGTGCTAGTCAGATTCCAAGTAACTTCCCCCTTAAGAATCCATCACTTTTTCTATTCTGAAAAATCTGTCCTAGATGATATGATGGAATGACCTCTTCCATGCTTTTATCTGTACTGTCCATTTAGCTATACTACACAGGCAAAGGAAACCAGTGCTCAAAGTGACACACGTGCCCCCTGGCGGTGACTCTTTTTTCACTGAAGAAGCAATGGAATATGACTTCTTTTGGTCAAATAGTTCATCAGTTCATTGTGTATTTGGGACTGAACGGCTCAAATGCTGGAAAAACTAGCTGTTTACCATAATCCTTTCTTCTACTCATAAGTGGTTTTTTTTAATTAATAAATTGTTGTGTGATGTGTGTGGCTTCCCAGAAAAAAATTATGATGTAACTTGTATTCACTTAGGACACTCTTCATGTTTACGTTAATACAGAAAGCTGCACAGGGACATTCAACTCCAACCTCAGCTTTCCCTTTCCTCTGTTCTAAATGTTTCTGAAGTTCAGGGGAGGAGAATACTCTGAGGAGAAACTAAATGTGCCTTGCGGGTGCTTGTAGCCTCTGTTTCCCTAAAGTAAAAAGCAGCACCATGGGGACAATCTATATTTGTAAAATAGCACAGTGTAAGGAGGAAATGCCTCACTCATCCTTCACGGTATTGCTCCAATCAGGTTAGCAGCTCCACCTCCCCACTACTTTGACTATTTTTCATCAAAAGCAATCAGTCACAAACCCCACACCCAGGCAAAACATGTCATTTGGCCCAGCACTGGTGTAGGGTCTGACGGAAAATTGCCTGCCTTGCAGTGAAGACAGCCTTAAGACTTCTGGCAGAAGAGAAAGCACTTAATTCCAAAGGCCTGTTTGGACTTCAAACTCAGAAACTGCTGCATCCAATTTAGGTAGGCCACTGCACTGTGACGAGACATTAGATTATTAGCTAGACTGGGCACTCCAAGTTGTGTGCACTTAAAATGGAAGGGGCATCAGGGATAAAGCCCACATGAGGACTTCACAAACACTACATGTAGGACAAATCATTTCTGCAGCATTTTCTGACATTCTGTAAATATTCAGTTCAAAGAACCGAATCAGAATCTCTCCACAGATTATCAGAAATATCATTTGTGGATTATTTCAAATCAACAACTGCCCCCCCCCAGCTTTCTATAGGAATATCTGATGAAAAAGCTCACATCTATGTGACCACATCGGCTCTATGCTAAGAAAACAATAACCCTTTTACAGCTTTTAATGCTTTATATGGATCACCATCTGCCCATTTTCTTTCATAAACACACTTTCCTTGTATTTTTCCATCAGTGTAACAAGGATGGAAAAATGTGAATGCAAGGACATTAGTTTTACACATTATAAGAAAATCCATGTAAGAGAGTGCACTAACACAGGAGAAAACTTACACCAGCTACATTCTAAATTAAACAAGTTTTCACAGTGTGAAATAGGATGGCAATTTTACTGACAAAGCACTGTTTGTAGTGAAAACCACACAAGACAGACAGAATACAGAAACTGCCTATTTCAAATTCAGCTCTCTTACCCAATGATGTGGAAGATCTTCTCTGCAGTTCCCCAGAAGGCTGTGATTTTTTGTAAGCTACAGGCGATGACCTTAATGACTGTGACCTCAGATTATGCTGCGGACTTGACCAATTGGTATTCAGTGCCTGCTGGTCACCCTGACCAGTTTCTGCCCTCTCCATAGACGATGCAAGTCGGCCATCATCTAAAAAAGGTAAATGTGAGTCTGATCAAGGTTCAGTAATGAGAAGTGGAAATGAAGTACATCTTTCTATTGACTTTTTTAAAAAAAAAATTAGTATCACTGAGTGTTGAAATTGCATGTTCAGCCCAATCCCCTCCTGCAGCCTCTATGTACCAGCTTGGAATAAGGACGCATAAACAGTAACAAAGCAAGTAGACAAGGCAAGGACATAGGGGACGTTTTAGCAGGTGCTGGTGTTCTCTCTCAAGCTCCGCAAAGATATCCCAACTGTGTTAGAAAATAAGACCACTCTAATGGCTCAGAAGCTGCCAATGAGGTCATCATGTTAGTTCCTTGTAGCAAAGACAATGAAAAACTTGTGGCACCTTAAAGCTCAATCAGCTTTATTTTACATATGAAGGAATTCCACTGGCGTTCATATAAGGTTTGGGTAATTTACTGTAGTTAATTACTGAGGTGGCTCACTTGTTTGCCTGCTGGGCCATGTACTCAACTATGCAACTAAGATGCACCCCAACACTGTAAGCCACCCAGATCTTACATGAACACCAACAGGATTCCAGCCACAAGCCCATTTCTACAGGAGCAGAGAAGAGTGCTTCAATGGACAGACAAAACGCAAGTGGACTTCAGAAAACTTGATGCCAAAACCTTCAAGGCACTACAATAAATTTCATTGTTATTGATGTCACAAAACTCTCAAAATCTTTCATGAACCATCAAAGGTTTTTTAGGCGAGATCAAATCTCTGGAATACAATAAGCTCCTTTCACACCTGCGCCATCGCCACAAACAAAATCTTAAAGATCACACTATATGTGCACTGTTTCAAATGATGAAATAACAACTCCTGTACAGTAATATCATAACCATCTACTGGCAATACAAATTTGCTTTGCACAATTTGCTTTCGACCGGATATGTGAACATTACGGTTAGTAATTAAATGTCAGCAATTAATTCGTAATCTATTGGCAGCTGAGTCTTATAACATGACCCACTGTACCCTCAGCAATGTCACGCCAACTTATCTGCCTAGCTTACAATGCAGCCCTGTTCATCTCAAGTCAGAAGTCCAGTCACACTCTGCTCATTGGGACTTACTTCCACATAAGCATTTATACACCCAATAAAAGGTGGTTTCTTTTTTTAAAGGCCACTTTCCTAGCACTGCACTAATGTATTGCTGCAGCAACAGACATCTAATCTCTCTCTAATGTTAAGTATAGTGGTGTCTCACTTAGCAATGTTAATTGGCTCAAAAAAAAACATTGCTATGGGAAAACATCGCTAAGCGAAACACTATTTCCCATAGGAATGCATTGAAAACCAGATAATCCGTTCCAATGGGAACGGATTACCGTCCTTAAGCGAAAATCGCCATAGGAAACATCGCTAAGCGAAACACGGTTCCCCCATTGGAATGCATTGAATAGGTTTCAACGCATTTAAATGGTTTTGCGATGTCCGTTTTCGCTATTTATAAAGTGTCTTAAAATGTTCAAAGACTGTTTAAATGCTTGGAATCATTAGTGCACCTTGTAAAACCTTTGCAAACTTAATTCGGCTTTGTTCTGTCTTCGTTAATTTTTGGTGAATTTTCCCCCCATTGGAATGCATTGACAGCTGTCAAACCTACAGTTCAATGCATTTCAATGGGGGGAGAAAAAATTCACCAAAAATTAACGAAGACTCAGAACAAAGCCAAATTAAATTTGCAAAGGTTTTACAAGGTGCACTAACGATTCCAAGCATTTTAAACATTTTTTGAACATTTTAAGACACTTTAAAAATAGCGAAAACGGACATCGCTAAGCGAAACAGGGGGGCCCAAACTGTCATCGCTATGCAAGGCATGGTCCCGAACATCGCTATGCGAAATTTTCCCATTGGAAACATCGCTAAATGGAGCGCAAAATCACTCCTAAAACCTCATCGCTAAGCGAATACATCGTTAAATGAGGCAATCGCTAAGCGAGGCACCACTGTATTTGTTTATCTAATCCAATTTCTATACTGTCCCATTACTGTTATCACTCTCTGGGAGAAAGAAATTTTACGATGAAAACACCATGCAATACAGAAAATGCAATAGACTGTGTCACTACCTAAAAAAAAATTAGTCTACCTTTTCTCTATTCTCTATAAGCAAAAGAGTTGCCTCACTGCATCACAGCAAAAAAATAATAATAATAACTTAGATCCAAGAAGAAAAAGTGTCAGCTCAATCCTTTGCATATTAACTTAGAAATAAGTCCCTTTGAATTTAACAGGTAAATTAAATCAGTGGTTCTTAACCTTTGTTACTCAGATGTTTTTGAACTGCAACTCCCAGAAACCTCAGCCAGCAGAGCTGATGGTGAAGGCTTCTGGGAGTTGCAGTCCAAAAACATCTGAGTAACAAACGTTAAGAACCAGTGAATTAAATTATCCTAACTCAAGGTAAGTTAATAAAACTCTTAGGTTAATGTATCTTGTTCTGACTCACAAACAGCATCATTTATACTGCACATCTACATGAGGAGGCTTGTGGTGCAGTAATTAAACTGCTGTAATGCAGCCAAACTCTGCTCACGACCCAGGGTCCAATCCCAGGTACTCGGCTCAAGGTTCACTCAGCCTTCCATCCTTCTGAGGTCCATGAAATGAGTACCCAGCTTGCAGGGTCAGGTGCAATGTGTAGCCTGCAATTCACTTGTAAATTGCCTAGAGAGTGCTTTAAGCACTATGGGGTGGTATATAAGCAGCACACTTTGCTTTTTTTTAAGTCTGAATTTCAGAAAAAGATATCCAAGAAGAGGATGAGATCAGTACTGTCCTTTTTTAGGGATTGTGCACTGACACACCACAGAGGTAACAAAAAATCATTCGCACACCAGATTGTGACCACATCTAACATGCAGCCTGCTTGAAGTCTGCCAGTACTATTCTACCTAGCCTGTATCTCTGCATACAGATGTCCATGGCTAGTCTGCTAACATGCCAGTACTATTCTACCTACCCTGTATCTCTGCATACAGATGTCCATGGCACTGGACCTTATAGACTGGGGAAGAAATGTTTTGTTTTAGCATCTGCCAGTCCTAACTCCTCTGCTCCACCCCCAAAACGTATCATTTCTATTTTCAAATAGAAAACCATGTGATGTCAGTTGCTAGGGTTGGGATATGTGAAATCCATGGAACCATTTCTATGGTTTCCCTTGACCCAGTATCTTACTCCTATTGTCATTCCATACTTTCTCTTTTTCCTCTCCTATTAGAGCTGGATATCATAATGACTACTCTGACCTGGATGTGGCATCTCTGAACAGTGTTACAGCCAAACCAGCCTACAAGCTCTTTCAGACCAAAAAATGATTCTCTTCTCTTCATGACTTCCTTCACTTATTTTTATTTGAATAATCAGCTATAACAATTTGTACCTTTTTTTGCTCCTCATTAAACAAAATATTCTAAGTTTCTGCAATTTATGTATTTTATGACACCTGGCATTCCACTGCCCAGTCTAAAAATGTTCATCCCCACCCATGAGAACAAAGCCAGCCGAGTATCCTCCTACCTCATGCTGACTGTCCCTCCTAGGGGATGTCAGTCTCAGGGCTATATTCTGGTTTCCCAAAGTCCCACAGCAATGGATTTTAAAACACCCTTAAATCCAGGGAGGCCAGCTACTGTATTTTCCCTTTGTCTGGTATTGGCATTTGTACAAAAACTTTGGGTAGATGCAACAACGGCCATGCTTTAACGCAACACTGCTCCATAACATATCATTCTATATATGATTGCAACTTGAAAGACAATAAACTCTTACCTTTACTGAAACGAAAGAGATTTACAAAAGAGCTGTAGGCAGATTTAAATGGAGGTTCATCCTGGTCAGGAGTCAAAGGTTTGAAGTGTGTAAGATGAGAGGGACTGCCGGCAGAGTAAGGCAGATCGCTCATAGAGTCCAGTGTTGGAGATGGCTTGTCATCTGTGGCCATCTCATGGATCCTAAGGAAGATTGAACAACGCTCATTACTTTTCTGACGTACCCTCAGTGAAATGTAAGCCACCACCAAGATTCTTCCCCAGCGGGTGCCTATCGGATTTTTCCCCTTTTTGTTTCACTTACCAAAATATGAGCTGGCTTTAGTGACTCCATACCTTGATACAAAAGGGGCAGGGACACTAACTGCTGCTTCCCCTCAGGCCAGCAAATATCTTGGCTTTTTCTTGGTAAAAAGTACCACAAGCTAGACAGGCACAAGCTGTCCTAACAGTAGCTTCTTGTCCACGATACATGTTATGCACCAGGACAATCAAGTTTTGAGGCATAACCATTTATTTCAGAACAACCCATAGGTTTTCACGATCTGCACAATACAAGATTTTGCTGTAGTCTATAAAGCAAAACTGATCTTCTGAAATCCTTTGGCGTGCTCTAGTAGCCAGTGGATACTTGCAATATGATCTTGAGGACCTCTACCTTTTCAGAATCCAGCTTGAATATCAGGCATTTCTTGCTTCCTATAAGGTAAAAATCTTTGTTGCAACACTTTGAACATCACTTTGCTTGCATGGGAAATTAAAGCAATGGTCCTATAGTTATTGAACCCCCCCAGGCATCCTCTTTCTTGGGGACTGGAATGTACACTTCCAATCTGTGGATCACTGTTTTGTTTTCCATATTTCTTGGCCCATTCTTGTTAAGATTTGGACAGATTCATCTCCGTGACTTGAGATAGTTTTATTGGTACCCCAATTACCTCTGGTCATTTATTAAACCCTAATGCTTTCAGAGCATCTTTCACTTCACTTTCTAGAACTGCAGGTTTTTCATCACTGGATTCCTCTTCAAAGGAGGCGTTTACCTTCAACAGGTATCTCTTCTGTGCCGGTCTCTACTGTTTCCATCTTCTTTTTATTTTCTCCTGGTCAGAGAGTGTGGTTCACAGTTGGTCATCAGCATTACTAATCTAGGTTTAAATTTCGCTTTGATTTCTTGGACCTTCTGGAAGAGATGTCTTTTTTCCCATTTTGCTGTTCTCCTCTATTCTTGTACACTGTTTATTGCAATAGTTACCTTTGACAATTGCTGAAAAACTTCATTTAGGGTTCTGACATTATTTCTGTCACCTTTTATTTTTGCTTCTTGCCTGTCCTTTACAATTTTAAGGGCTTTTTCTGTCATCCATCTAGGTTTTCTTTCCTTTTTACTACAGAAACTGTCTTTTTGCATTTTTCCTTAATAACATATTTGGTTTCAATCTACAGTTCTTCTCATGCATGGTTCACTGAGTTTAATAATGCAAATCTGTTCTTTATTTGGACTTTTAATTCATCAGGAATGTAGTTTAAATTAAACTTTAGCACCACAATTCTTTGGGTGTTCTTTTTCAACTCTGTAATGTTAGATAGTAACATGAATTCTATCTTTTTGTTCTATCATTCCCCATCTTGAACACACCATATTACTGATTTAATTGTTTAATCATTATGTTGTTTTATTGCATTTTATAATATTTTATGACATTTGTAAGCCACCCTGAGTAGACGCTGTCTAGGGGGTGTGTGGTAAAAATTTAATAAATACTGTATATAAATAAATAAAAGCTTATGCTCAGTACCACAGCCCACTCTGACTCTTGTTTCGGCAGAGAGGATACAGCCAATCCATTTCCTGCTTCCAATTACATAGACTATAGGTTTTCTATTTTGTCCATCTGATGATGTGCATGTCTAGTTGGTTATTGTGGGGTTTTCGGTCTCTTTCGCCGTGTTCTGAAGGTTGTTCTTCCTAACGTTTCACCAGTCTCTGTGCCCGGCATCTTCAGAGGATAGCACTCTGTGGCCGGCATCCTCTGAAGAACAACCTTCCGAACACGGCCAAAGAGCCCGAAAAACCCACAACAACTATTAGATCCCGGCTGTGAAAGCCTTCGCGAATACATTGCATGTGTAGTTGTCTGTTCGGTTACATGAAGCATACAGCTGCAATAAATCAGATTGCTGGATTTGCATAATTCTATCATTCTCCTGCTTTGTTTCTGTCACCTAGAAGAAATTTTGCAACAGCACTTGGTTCTGCTTTGTTCCCTACTTTTGCTTTCTAGTACCAATATTACAACTATATCCTGCTTTAGCATGTGATCAACTTTCTCGTGGACACTTGCATAAAAGCTTTAATATTCTCCTCCAACAGTGATAGTTGGAACATAAACTTGAATTATGGTAATGTAGATCTGTTTTCCATGAAGTCTAAGGAATATTACTTAGTCAGGTCTTGCATTATAACCCCAACTGTGTGTGCTCCAACTTGCATCTGTATTAGAGGCACTTCATTTCTTCTAAGTTTGTCATTCTCGGAGTAGAACATCTTGTAGTTGTCTGACTTTAAAATATCCCAGTCCATTCCACTTTAGTTCAATGACATCAAGCACTACAATGTTATACATTCCATTTTTTCCTTTATAGTTTTCAGTTTACCTTGATTCATGCTACTCACATTCCATATTCCAATTGTATGTGTTGTTTAGCATCAGACTTTTTCGCTTCTGTGCACGTAAGCCACTAGACACACCTTTGGCTTTACAGTGGACCCTTGACTTACAGACCAGCATCAGACTTTTTCGCTTCTGTGCACATAAGCCACTAGACACACCTTTGGCTTTAATCTATGTGCATCATTAGCAACAGTGCTATTTGCACTTTTCCTTTGCTTTTCACCTGTAGCTGACTGAGTGCTTTCTGACCTGGGAGTTCCCTCTTTAAGCACTCTCGTTTCATTTTGGACTGTCTCACCACAGCGTTGTTGTTTTTGTAATGAAAGTTCAATAGTGGTTTACCACTGCCACCTTCTGCACAGTACTAACAAAAGTTTGCTTAAGTGTCACCTTTAGCTACCACTGCTGCCCACATTACATTCGACTCTCCCATCAGGGGATTGTGTTGTAAGTAAATTCAGTAGAGTTTCATCATTGTCACCTTCTGCACAGTATAACAACAGTTAACTTGAGCATCATCTGGGGGGGGGGGGGGGTATGGGAGAGAAGTGTCTTTGTCTCTCCTGGCTTTGGTACACCAATTATCATTTAGCTTGGATTTTAGTTCCTTATGATGTATATAAAGCCAGTGCATAAAGACCAGGAACATGAACGAACGGCAAGCCTGTGAATCTGTTGCATATTCGTAGACTCCAAATATGCCATGACATGGCAAGCCAGGGTTGTTACATTTTTAAAAGGCTCATGGTCTCTCAACTTACTACCATTAGCTGGATCTGGTATAGCCACATGGACTTTGTCCAAAATAGTCCAAAATACCTGGAAGGCCAAAAGCACCTGTGCTCCACAGAATACAATGCAAATTGACAATATACCAGTCAGAAACGAAGCCCAAAATGGAACTGTACAGCTAGAGACCAATAGACAGTTGTTTGCTTTGCAAAAAGGAACTTTGTGATCTTGAAGCAAAGAAAAAGTATATAACAATAGGCTGACCCACAAAAATAAGTCTTCATCAAAGCAATAAGAGAATGAGGTCTGGCAGTCAATGATCATTTCGGAACAAAATAAGCAACTTTCACATGGAACCCAGCTTGTAATGATAATAAAAGGGTCAGTAGCCAGGGCTATAAATCTTCACTTGCCTCATTCCTGTGCACACCCAAAATGTACACATTTTGGCCCCTATTTCTTTCACCCTGGTGTCACTTCAGGCATCAGAAAAGCTAAAAAAGCTCAGTTGCTCCTTACTTCATTTGTCACAGACTCCTCCTCCCCGACTACTTGAGACAAGGCCTCTGCAGCATTGCATTCTGGGAGTGCTCAGGACAACAGTCACCCCCGAATTCTCTCATATGACACTACCTACTATACAGGGGCAGAGGAAGAAGAGAGAAGTTGGAGGAGCATGAAGGAAAAGAGATGATAATAGATAATGTTGCATATATGAATGCACCACGACACACACTCATGCATGCACAAGGACATAACTCTTCCAAAGGCCCAACAAAAATCTGTCACCTCTTGCAATGATCTTCTTCTGTGTCATACTAACCATCTCAGGTTGCATACTCACACAAGCAGAACAACATGTGAACAACTACAGGTTGAAGAACTAGCAGGACTACTAGAGCCATCTCCAGTAGAAATAAGTAATAAGTCTCTAGACCACTATGTTTTGTTTCAGAATTCCTATGAAATGTGCTTGGAGACAGTGCTTTAATAAGTGCCTGGTCAGTTGTTTCCCCATTACCACCACCTCCAAAGAAAAACATGACAAGAGAGCATGACTAGATCATAAGTCAGCAATGAATCTGCATTAGCAAGCTCTACTTAACCCCTGATTTTGGCCCCTATTTCTTTCACCCTGGTGTCACTTCAGGCATCAGAAAAGCTAAAAAAGCTCAGTTGCTCCTTACTTCATTTGTCACAGACTCCTCCTCCCCGACTACTTGAGACAAGGCCTCTGCAGCATTGCATTCTGGGAGTGCTCAGGACAACAGTCACCCCCGAATTCTCTCATATGACACTACCTACTATACAGGGGCAGAGGAAGAAGAGAGAAGTTGGAGGAGCATGAAGGAAAAGAGATACAATACAATAATGTTGCATATATGAATGCACCACGACACACACTCATGCATGCACAAGGACATAACTCTTCCAAAGGCCCAACAAAAATCTGTCACCTCTTGCAATGATCTTCTTCTGTGTCATACTAACCATCTCAGGTTGCATACTCACACAAGCAGAACAACATGTGAACAACTACAGGTTGAAGAACTAGCAGGACTACTAGAGCCATCTCCAGTAGAAATAAGTAATAAGTCTCTAGACCACTATGTTTTGTTTCAGAATTCCTATGAAATGTGCTTGGAGACAGTGCTTTAATAAGTGCCTGGTCAGTTGTTTCCCCATTACCACCACCTCCAAAGAAAAACATGACAAGAGAGCATGACTAGATCATAAGTCAGCAATGAATCTGCATTAGCAAGCTCTACTTAACCCCTGATGAGCCAAATGTCTCTCAAACTTTAACAGAACTGCTGTTAAGAACTAAGTATACCCAAGAACTGAGGTATGCTTGACCAAGTCCTTCCAAAAGCCAGCTAAGATTTTGTTTAATAATGATTTCTGTAGTAGACACAGCCCATGAAACGCAACTCAAAATATTTAGACACATAGGCACAGGCCTGCTGCTACGAAGTTTTTTTAAAATATATATTTTATTTGTACATATAGAATACTCCATCCTCAACTCTGGCAAATAAAGCCAATAAAGTTTTCATAGTGAAACTGTGGGCACTTCAAGCACATATTTGCATACGATTTCAGGATGTGTAATAAACCATACTATGAACAATGTGTACGGGGGTCACACTCAATTTAGGATTGCTGTCTTTGGCAGGAGCCACCTTTCCACATTATTAACAGTATAGCTATGCATTGTAAAATATCACCCAACTTAAATTCACAGGACTGATCAGCAGGCCACTTTCTGAACTCAAATCAACAAAACCATGCAGGAAAATTCACGTAAGTTAACAGGATACAACACAAGCCCACTGTTTTATATATCATATAACTCTAGATCATCCGTAGCCTATCAACACCTTGAAAGGAGAATAAACTCTTCCAGGCATGCAACCCACCACGCTTCCTGGAAGCAATTCTCACACACTATGGGTGAGCCAACTAATGGCTATTCAGGAACTTGCACTAACAAGGAAAAGGAGGACATTTAACTAAGGAAAAACAAATGATGACTAGTTTGGAAACTAGTATAGGAGGAAGTGTCTCGTGAACGAGGCAGTTTTAGTGGTTCTGCTGCCAATCATGTCACCACAGTAAATTCAACTCAAAAACAGCAAACATTCCTCTCCTTCAGTCTCCATGGAGCACAAAACTGAGCCAGCTCCACGCCTTCATTACTGGCAAGGCAATCAGGGCTGCACGTGAAATTTCTCAGCCAAAGAAAAGCCTCTGCTTTGCACACAGCCTAGATCCTGGTCAAAAGAAGGTTAAAGTAGCTTTTTTATTGTTACAGATTTCCAACCTCTTGTCCCACTTTGAATTAGATAATCTGTTAACAAAGTTCTCCCAGTAACTAAGATGAAGTTGTGCAACCAACTCACTAATCCATCAAATGATTAAGAGTAATTAAAGTTCATTCTACTCTGAAATCATTACATGCAATTCTGCAAACACCACATACACCAGAATGTGATTGTTCCAAGCCCTTGGTTCCTGTACTTTATAAATGAAAAGACAACCTTGGCTACTTCAAGAGGCAGACATCCCACCCTTCAGTAATGACATTAAGCACAGGTTCAGTCACTCTGCACCAGAAGTCTATAACCACAGAACAGTCTGTACCACTGTACCCCAACATCTTCCCATCAACAGCAAGAGGCATGCCTCTCACCTCTCCCTGGATTTGTGCAAACAGCATCAAGATGAACAAAAGAATTCCATCTTTTGTTCAAAGAATTGTCATATGCTGTGACGGCAACATAATGAATTTTTAAGGCAAAGAAGGGGTTTTTAAATAGGCTCATCTTACACAGGTACATCAATACCTGTTAGCCATAGGAACAGGCATGCATTCATCATACTCAAGAGCCATTCAGTTCTATCTACCAGATAACTGCAGGATAAACAGGGATAGCTACCACTCTACAAATCTGCTTGTGGGTTTCCTAGGGCATCTAACCAGCTAGTTTCAGAGACACAGCACGAAACCAGCTGTTTCACTGGACACTTCATGCAGTCTTCAACAGCATTATCTGCTCTTCTCCAATGCCACTGCATGACTCAAGGGCATTAGGAGCATACATAATGCGTACAATGCCAATATTTTTGATCCAAACAGTGCATAGAAACATGTAGGGAGCTTAAATATTTTTCTTTAATTTCTTTCTCATCAAGTTGCAGTGCTTCACTAAGTGTCTTATTACCGTCAAATCCAACTTTGTTCCTATATACATAATGGCCTTATGCCACAGCAAAAGAAGAAAACAATCAACAGGAAAGAGGACTACTGAATATTGTTATTTCATTATTTGAAAAAACTATTAGCAAGGGGCATCAGGCACGAACTAGTTTCTCTATATTAAGAGAAGTAAGACATGTTCTAAGCAGCTTGGAACAAAGAATTTCACTTTAGAGACTTTTTTCCTCCCTGGAATTATACAAAAATGTTGCCTTAAATCACCTGATATGTGTACAGTAACCATAGAGTTAGTATAAATCAGTGGTTCGCAATCTTTTTTTAGTCGCAACCCTGTTTTATAATAACTAAGTAACCTGTGACACACACCTCCTCCATATTTGCATAAAAAGGCATTTTAATGGGATAAAGTCATCCCTTCTCAGAAAGCAGAGGCTTCCTTCTCCTTAAAGTGTCTGTTTCTCATGCATACACATAGCACTAATGTTAATATGCACTAACTTTAATATTCAGCTCCAAAAGGTTAAGAAAGAAATTATTTAATAAGGGCTACAACACATATAAGGCAAACTGAGCAGTGGTTCTTAACCTTTGTTACTCAGGTGTTTTTGAACTGCAACTCCCAGAAACCCCAGCCAGCAGAGCTGATGGTGAAGGCTTCTGGGAGTTGCAGTCCAAAAACATCTGAATAACAAAAGTTAACAACCAGTGCGGCCTATGGCATCAAGCACTCTTTCTCCTCCCAGCTCTTTTCAGAATATTGCCTAGATTCAAATGAGTGAGAGGGGAACAACCTTGAATTTTAACAGCACTGTCCAACATTGGCCCAATATAAATGAACTGATACTGTCAGGATAATTTAGGTTTCTTTTAAAGCAAAAGATTACAGCACATTTTGTTCCATGTAGAAATCTCACCTTTTTTTCCTGCAGTGTCCTAAATACTTTGATATACTATATTAAACTAACTGTCCAAAGGGGAAATGCTTGTTTATATTCTATGTAAGACCACACCGCAATATTTTATCTTAAAATGAATTACTCTTTTGGGTCCAATCAGTTAAGTGATCTGAAACTGGTTGAGTAGTTCTGCCTTAACAGTGAAGTCTTATGTTACTTATTTAATTATTTAAAACAAGAGTGTTCTCCCAGAGCTATCCCCACCATAGAAAACTACACAATAACATCTTGTGGAAGCAATGTGGTCTCAGACAAAGTGAGTGTCCTCATCCACCCTGAAAGTTATAGGTGACTCTTGGCTGTCTCTCAGCATCAGTTCCTCATGTACAAGTAACCTATTTCTAGAAGCAGAAAACAACCGTGTATGCATTCCTCCCAAGCTAACAGATGAATGACAGGATACAAAAGAGAAGAGTTTTGGCAGTGATGTGGAGGTTCCCTCTGCTAGGCCACTTTTAAAGATACTGTAATTCCTTCCAGTGCACATAGTCCACCAAGCTGAAGCAAGCCTGTTTTGCAATTGCCACTTAAAAAAAAAACAAAGTTAAGGAGCCATCACAGTTGTTTCCGTTTTACAGACTGGAACATCCTTCTCATAGAAAGGCTTCATCGTGTCTAAAGGCAGCACAGAAACGACAGGGCTGGCATGCCGGTCCACAAGCCCCAATTCCAGGTCCCATCTACCAGATCACGTCCTAGACATACAGCTTTGACGAGGTAAATAAAAGAAGTGACATTCAAATCCTTCCAACACCTTTTTACAGATTTTTTTTAAATTACAACAAACTGGGTGAATCTACCACCGGTACTCAGAAGTTACACCGCGTCGGAAGCGGCAAACGCACAAGCGAAAGGCACACCGGCTTGCAGCCTTGTGTAACAGAATAGGAGCGAGCCGTGAGGATTAGTTAAAATCCGGCCTGCTTCTCAACCGCGCACCAGAAAACTCAAGAAGCAGTTGCGGAGAAGGGAAATAATGTTGTTGTTATTATTAACCGGCACCTCCCCTGCCTCCCGGCTTCGTCCTGCCCCTGAAGCCCTTGTCCTAAATACAAAGGGTCCCCACCTTCCCTGACCTCCCCCTGCTTCCCTCTACCTGCTTCCTGACGGGCGGCATTTGCTCCCCCCTCTTCCAGGAGGCAGCACGACCCGGCGGCCGGGTGAGGCGGCGGGAAGACAGAGAGAGGGGGGGGAGAGAGAGGCTGAAAACACGCCCGGCCAGAAGGAGCACCTGACACGGCTTGGATGCGCTTCCTTCTCTTCCTCCACTTCCTGTCTCCACTCCCGGGCGAGCAACTGGAGAGGCAAAGGCGCCGCCTCCGGTCCTCCAGAGGCAAAACAATCGATGCCAGAGAGACGAAGCAAGGATTCCAGAGAGAGGGAGCAAGGGGCACCAAAGGCTACTTACGCGCACACCGCAGGCCTCAACGATCGAGCTCTAATGCCATCGTTCACCCAGGTCTCCCAATCCGTTTCGAAAGGCTGACTTCAAGATCAGCAGCGAGAGAGTCACGCGAAGTGAGCGAGTAGCTTAAGATGTATGGGGCAAGGCCACAGCCCAGACCTTAAGTGAGCTGGTAAACCTCTACGTCAGGTTTGTAATTTCAGACGGCTAAATACAAAAATGTTCCAAAACAAGGAAAAAACAGCGTGCCACTGTAAAGTTCAGGCTCGTTGCATTCAATTACGTAGCCATGTATTTGGAAAGTTTTATTTCATGGCATGGAGAAACATGCTTGGATGTGACTTCCGTCTCAATTCTGAAATAGTACAGCCGTCAAGTCAGACCCGATTTATAACCACCCTAATAAGGCTTTCAAGGTAAATGGGATATTTAAGGAGTGGTCTTACCAGTCCTACTCTCCCAGTGAGTTTCCATGGCCGAGCAGGGATTCGAACCCCCCCTGACCAGAGTCTTAGTCCGTCACCCTATCCACTACAGAACTGGGAAAAGTTACTTTGAACGACCTCGCAGGAATTCCCTGCCACTGCTGAGTTCTAGTTTTCAAAAGAATATTTTTGCAAGCTCTAGCACAAAAATAAATTGTTTTTCATGAAAACTAATGCTGAACTTGATGATAAAACCAAACTAGCTAACCTGCCCTGTAAATAAGTAAGATGACATTGTACACTACATGTACAATAACTAATAAATAAAATGTGTGCCATCAAGTCAAATCTTGACCATTGGTGACCATTTGCAAGGGTTTTCTAGGTAGAGTGCTCAGAAGGGGTTTGCCATTCCCTTCTTCTGGGGATGCTCTGGGACTATACAATTTATACAATTTGACACAGGCTGGCTGGGGAATTGAACTCCCAGCCAATCCACTGAGCTATCCAGCCAAGTATAAAACTAATACTGTAACAGGTTTTCAGAGGTGTAGGGCCACAACCAAGAAAGCCTGGTTTCTGGTGCCTGCTCTTTCCGCCTCCCTTGATTGTTTTTAACATCCTGGACTGTAATGAGCAGGTGGAACGGGCAGTTGTTCTATAAGAGATACATTCCAACAAGTATAAAAGTCCTAAACCATTTAATTTATCACCTTATGTTCACAAGTTTTCTGACAACGAAGTGTATGTTTCTAAACATCCGCAGGGTTAATTTTCTCAATGGATGTAACACTTCCTCAGTGTAAAGGAGACTGAATGTGTTTATGGAAACTGGTGCCTAAGATAACAGGAATCTCAGAGGCATTATAGAAAAAAAGAGGTCTAAGAGGAGATGATACCCAGCTGGGAATGATTGTGACATTCAAACTTTTACCTAATTTTTAATCATTTAAAAGGAGTCCCATTTAGAAAAGCTTGCTTCCCTTACAAGAAATTTCATCCCTTTAATTCAATAGTCCATGAAAACCTCATAGGAGTATACTCTGAATAGATTTCTACATTGCCACAAGCAGCATCCAGGCCAGTCTTTCACAATTTCTCTCCACAAGGAATAAGAAGGCTGTCTGCTGGTGTTTTAAACACTAGATATTTGCCAGGGACCCAAAATGGCCACTACCCTGGGAATGTCCTTCCTAACTCTGAACAGGGCACCCAAGTGGATTAGCATAATTAATTCTACATTACAGATAGATCTAAGCAAATGGTGGCCGGGTTAAGGCATGGGAGAATATAGCTGAAGTAAAATATAAACAAAGCACACTATTCTAGCTTTTACTGTAAAATACTGCTGTGGGACCCGAACCCCAGGTCAAGAAGTGCTGATAGGAGGGCCGTCCCGCCCCCAAGGCGACTGTAGGCACTCAGACAGCTCCTCGTCCCTTCCCTCCCAAGCTGATACATCAAGCTGTGGACACCACCGACTTGGAAAAGAGACTGAAAGGGTTATCGGTGGCGACCCAGACAACACTGGTTTTGGCAGGGAAGGGGGAAGGGCAGTAGCGGAGGCGGAAGCAGGGGAGTTGGTACTCGGGACGTCATCCCGGGTGGATGGGAATTAGTATGGATGCAGGACCCATGGGACTGGGAAGTGGGAACAGGTCAGAGTGCCTAAGCAAGAGGCAGAAAGCTGAAGGAAGAGGGGACTGCCTCAGCGCCCGTCGTACTGGGGAGAGACAGAGACCCGCGAGTGGCGGCGTAAGCTGAGGGAAGAGAAGGAAGCTGTGGAGAGGGAACGTGAGGCAACAAGGGCATGGCATATGGAGGAGTTGAGAAAGATGGGGTGCTTCCTGGGCCCTGGGACACCCAACTTGGTGAAGGATCCCCGTTCTGGGGATGGAGTGGGGATGAGGAGATCACCCCTCTATTGATTCCAGATCCAGAAGACGGGGTACCCCAAGAACCCAAAAGGGTTCAGGCTGGTCCATGGGCCCCAAAGTCATCTAACCCTTTTGGAAAAGAAGATTGGTTGCCCCTGTCGGAGACGTTACTCTCTCAGGAGAAGTTTGTTCCCAGTTTATTGGACATTTCTGTACCCATACCTCTGTTAATAAATGAAGCCGAGTTTGTTGGTTTAAAAACGTCTCATGATTTATTTCATATGGGGGAGGCGAAGACTAGTGAACCCTCACAACTGGCGCCTGCAATAAGCTGCAAAATTAGGTTGATTCCAGTTACTACACAGAAATGAATCACAGGTGAGTCAGGTAACTTCAGTGTGCATTTCTTGTTTGTAATTATGTGTTTGTCTGATTCATTCATGGCACAGCTGTAGTTTTTATTTTCATATTCATCTGTTGAGTATGAAAAATAAAATAAAAGGCATTTTCTCAAATGGTACAAAGAGTTTAAATTTTAATTCTCAGCAGATAAATGTCAAACAGTTCTAGGTTCATGAAAGCTGGAAAGTGGGAGAGAGATGTAGTATAGACATTTCTGTATTGAAGAATATGGCATTTTGGTTTAATTTTCAAATGCCAAAAGTTCAGATCAGTTGTGAAATTTTTCTGGGGCAGCTCCCTAGAGCAGATGTCAAACTGTTTGCACAATAGCATAGGATTTGCAGCCAACATACTAGACGTCCAATAGTACTCTTGGTGGGTGGCCTTGGGCAAGGCACTCACCTTCCATTCTCTAAGCCATAAGACAGTAGCCAAGCTTAAAGGTTGAGGAAATATGTCTTTCCTTCACATTTCCACCATTAAAGTGGTGGTATATCATCATATCTAGGTAAGGAAGTGGTAAAAGAACACCTAGCTGCTTTGAATGAGTTCATGTCGTCTGGACTGGATGGTTTACATCCCAGGATACTAAAATAACTGGCAGATGTGATCACAGACCACTGAATGAAATCTCTGAGAGGTCCTGGAGCATGGGCAAGCTGCCAGAGGACTAGAAAAGACCTGATGTGGTTCCTTTTTTCAAAAAAAAAAAAAAAAAAAGGAGGGGGAGTGGATCCTGGAAACTACAGACCAATCAGGTTGACGTCAATACCTGGGAAAATCCTGGAAAAAGATAATCAAGCAGCAGATTTGTGAGTCAGTGGTGCCCCGCATAGCGACGATAATCCGTTCCGAAAAAATCATCGCTATACAGATTTGTCGCTATGCGGGGCAAAAAAAGCCCATAGGAATGCATTAAAACACGTTTAATGTGTTCCTATGGGGAAAAACTCACCGTTAAGCGAAAATCCTCCATGCGGCTGCCATTTTCGCTGCCCGGTAAGCAAGGAAAAGGCATGAAAACACTGCAGGTGGCCATTTTTTTAACCTGGTGGCCATTTTGGAACCGCCAATCAGCTGTTTTTAAAACATCGCAATGCGAAAATCAGTAAGTGAAACGCTTACCGATCATCACAAAGCGATGTTTTGCTATGCGGATTCATTGTTAAATGAATCGCTTGTTATGTGGGGCACCACTGTACCTAGAAAATAACAAGGTGATTACTAGAAGCCAGCATGGGTTTGTTAAGAACAAGTCATGCCAAACAAATCTTATTGCCTTCTTTAATAAAGTGATTAAATTAGTGGACCAAGGAAAAAAGTGTACGCAGAGGATATAGTATACTTAGACTTCAGTAAGGCATTTGATAAGGTAGACCACAACCTACTTCTGTGTAAGACAGAACAAAGTGGGATAGACAGCACAACTACCAGATGGATTTGCAGCTGGCTGACCAACCGCACTCAACGTGTGATCCTCAATGGAACCACATCTACATGGAGGAAAGTGTGCAGTGGGGTCCCTTAAGGTTCTGTCTTGGGCCCAATGCTCTTCAACATCTTCATAAATGATCTGGATGAGGGGATTGAAGGAGCACTCATCAAATTTGCTGATGACACAAAGCTGGAGTGATTTGCTAATACTTTTGAAGATAGACTCAACATTCAGAAGGCTCTAGTCTAGACAGACTTGAACATTGGGCCCTATCCAATAAGATGCAGTTCAGTGGCAGGAAAAGGAAGGTCTTGCACTTAGATAGGAGAAACCAGATGCACAGGTACAGTGGGGTCTTGACTTGAGAACTTAATCCGTATTGACTCAAGTCAAAAAGTTCTCAGGTCAAATCTGCATTTCCCATAGGAATGCATTGAAAACCATTTGATCCGTGTCTGCTCTTTTCCGTCCATAGAAACTAATGGGAAGCTGCTATTCTGCCTTCGATCACTAGAGGGGGATATTTTATTTCTTTTTTTTTCTTAGGTCAAGAAAGGTTCAGGGAAGGCAGGGAAAATACAGTCCAGGCAGTACAGTACCAGGCAGTCTGAAGACTGTCTCCCAATCCACTCTCTAAACACTGGGAGGAGTGAGGAAGCAGACAGGCACCCTTTTCACTGGCCAACAGTTAACTGAAAGTTCAAATTTTGCACTTTCCCTGCCTCCGTGGTTTTTTTTCAGTTCTTAACTCAAATCTAAGTATGTAAATCAAGTCAATATTTTCCTATGAGAGTGGTTCTTAAGTCAAAATGTTCTTAACTCAAGCTGTTCTTAAGTCAAGATCCCACTGTACAGGATAGATGGTACCTGGCTTGACATTATTACCTGTGAGAAGAATTTAGGTGTCCTGGTGCCGTGGTTCTTAACGTGGGCAATAATGCCCCCCAGGGGGCGATTTCATTTTTCAGGGGGGCGGTAGAACGAAAAGGGGCGGTGTGGGGGCAAAAGAACAGAAGGGGGGCGGTAGGGGGGTGCTAGAGCGAGCCAAACCTGTGAAGGCGACTGCAGCCGCAGTGCTGGCAGTAGATCCGGTGCTGCTGCTGCCGCCAGATGATCCAGCTCTTTCTACCTGCCATGTCTTACCTTTCTCCTTTAGGGGAGCACTGAGTGTAGATCGGGTGGAAGGAAAGGGTCTCTTGGGTCCTCATCCTCGCCCCGTGAAGCGCTGCCTCGCACCCGGGTGGGGAGGGAGACAAGGTAGGTAGGTAGGCAGGCAGGTAAGATATCACCTCAGGGAGGGGGGCGATGATAACTTCCTCAATGGCTCAAGGGGGCGTTTCTTTCAAAAAGGTTAAGAACCACTGTCCTGGTGGACCACCACCTAAGGATGAGTCAGCAGTCTGCTGCAGCTGCCAAGAAAGCCAACACAGTCCTAGGCTGCATCAACAGGGGAATAGCATCAAGATCACGGGTAGTGATAGTACCACTTTATACCACACTGGTGAGGCCACACTTGGAATGCTGTGTCCAGTTCTGGTACCACAATATTAAAAAAAACAGGCCTTGGAAGGAGTGCAGAGAAGAGCAACAAAGATGATAAGGGGACTGGAGGGTAAATTCTATGAAGAATGTCTGAAAGAACTAGGTATGTTTAGCTTAAGGAAGAGAAGACTGGGGGGAGACATGATAGCAGTCTTCCAATAGCTGAAGGGTTGCCACAGGGAAGAGGGCATCAATTTATTCTCCATTGTGCTTGAGGGTAGGACAAAAACCAATGGGTGGAAACTCATCAGAGGGAGATCCAGCCTGAAAATAAGAAGGAATTTCCTGACAGTGGGAACCATTAAGCAGTAAAACAGATTGCCTCCAGAAGTTGTGGGTGCCCCAACACTGGAGGTTTTCAAGAAAAGATTGGACAGCCATCTGTCCGGGATGGTATGAGGTCTCCTGCCTTGGGCAGGGGGTCGGACTAGAAGACCTCCAAAGTCCCTTCCAACCCTACCACGATTCAATGATTCTATATTTTTACTGGGACAAGAAGCCAGCGCTCTCCACTGCTTGGAGTGTGACCAAACCCAGGAATGAGCCGCTTGCCTACCTAACTCTGGAATACAGACGCCTTTCGTTCCCACCACATGGAGAAGTGTGTGTGTGTGTGTGGGGGGTTCTTCGTGAACCCTTTTCCTTTCTCTCCGGGGTGGGGAGGAAAAGCGCTGCAGCTGGAGACCACCTGAGGAAGGGGGGCTGCCGAATCTCGGGGGCTGACCTCCCCCCTGCATGCAGAAGAGCTCCATCGACAGCGTCGCAAGGGCCAGAGGGCTCTCCGCTTGCCCCCTGTCCCGAAAGCTTTCGCCGACTGTGCCTCATGAGGGAACCGAGCGGCAAGCCGGCTGCCTTGTTCAGAGCAAGCAGGGCCCCCACCTCGCTCGGCCAGGCGACCCTCCCTCAGGACCCCCGCCGTAGCTCCGCAAACTCGACCACGCGGAGGTCTGCCTGCCCCACACGTCCGCCTCCCCACTGCACTGAGGGCGAAAAACGTCGCCCTCCCGTGACCGCGGGGCCAGCAACCCCGATTGACCCATTCATTCATTCTCACCCACCCACCCGTCATGAAAAAGGCACACACTTTCCCCTCTTTTCCTCCTCCCTGTTCGGGGCGTTGGCGTCCCTCCCCTCCTCCTTCTTTGTCCTCAATGGGCAGCCCGGCTTCCTCTCCTCCTGACGCCGCCGCCACCTCCTCCTCGCCTCCCTCTTCCTCCCCTAACGTCGTGGGAAGCGCGCATTGGCGAGGCGCTTTCCTGTCTGCTCGTCTGCATTGGGCTCCGGGAGAGGCAAGGCGGGGCCGAGGCTTTCAGGCCTTGCTGGGGCCCCGAGAAGGAGGGGCGATCGAGGGCGGGAGGAGGCGTAGCCCCAGCGGGCGCCCTTTAAGCCAGCCCCTCTCCCCCAGTTCGCAACGTAACTGGGAGTGACAGGAGCCGGAGCGGCCGTTGTCGCCAAGGAGCCAGCCGTGCAACCTGCAGGGCGATCGTCGAGATCTACCTCGTCTGTCAGTTGGAGAGAAGCCACCCAAGCCGTCCAGCGATTCGTGCCCGGGCAAGAGAGGTGAGCCGACTGGATCCCACCCGCTTTTGCCTCTTCCCTTTCTTCGGTATCCTTTTCTTTGCCTTTTCGGTTCGGGTTCCTCCTTTGCTGCGTCGTGTCCTTTGCCAAAAGATCGTAAACAGAGAAGAGCCTTCTAGTAGCCGTTGAAAGGTTAGCAAACTTTTTTCTTCTTCGAATTAAGACTGAATCCTTGGTCCCAGAAAGCAAAGACCTTCCTGTCAGTTTAAGGGTCTTTTTCTTCCTTTCGTTCCATGGTACGTACAGTGAAATGTCAAGGCTAAACTGCCACCAGACCCTTCTCAGCTTTTCTTACAACAAACCAACATGATTCTAGAAATCACTGATTGCTGGGGGCAAAGATCACTTTCACTTTGCTGCTAGATCTTTTTTCGTTTCTGTTACAATTTTAACAAAGGGGTTTGATTTTCATTACTGTATTTCATTGTCTACACAGCATACCCTCCAAATTGCAGAAATCAAAATGGCAGTGAAATACTAATACATTTGGATAGCTATTATAGATACCTTTTCAGCTGGGTTGGAGTTGGTGCAATATATTTGTACTATTAGCATGTAATCTGTGATCTCCTACCTGTATGCTTTATGAGAAGTTTTGCAGAATTTGTTTCTGAGCAGTTGCTAGACAAAAGGTAAATTGAGTAGCACAGAAAGTAAAATCACTGTGCTTTGTTAAGAAAGGGATTACATTAGCTTGTTCCTTTTCTTTTTTGTCCAGTTTTCAGCCTGTTCTGCTAGAGAAATGGTGTCTTGTTAGCTGTCCAGTGTATCCAAGATTTTATTTGAAATAATAATTTGGCATATATGGTACAATATTTCATTATTTGTATGATTGAGTGAATTGTGAATATTGCAGACTAATCCATCCTACATTCTATAGAACAAGATTTTCACAGTTGTATGAATTTTATCTGTGTTTGTAGCGATTAAACAAATAAGACTAAATGGATATCAAAATGAGATTCTGAAGGGAAATTAAATTAAAGCATCCACATGACAAACTTCAAGACTGTAAGTGAGGGTGGAATAATGTTTCAGTCTAAGACTACTTTCTCTGTTTTTAGCTCTAAATTCCCATAGCTGCTGAGAATTTTTTTATCGTTATATTGAATCAAACTATTTGTTTGTTCTTACTGTCCATATACGTACTTGCCTTTGAGAATCAAGGTGAAAGGGTGAATTCTATTCCATTTTCTCAGGGCTGAAAGAAGGGATTGAGAATACAAAGTAGGATAAAGGTGGAGAAACATCAATTGATTGAAAAATAACCAGCAGAGAAAAGGCCATTTGTAAAGAAAACTGTACTCTTAGAAGGAGTGACAGAAGACTGAGAAAACAAAAACATTAGTGAAGAAAACCAGCCAGTTAGAAGATGTTCTAAAGCTGGTACCTATTTGTTGTATTGCAAATTGATCTAACTGGATGGCATAGAGAGGATATTTTTCCTCAGCTGAGGAAACGTTGGCTGCCTTATTTTCAAAATTATCCTGTTGCTCTGGGCATAATATTCCTGTGAGGTAAAACAGGTTTTGACAGTAGGTCAATCTTTCTTTTTTAAACTCACATAAAGGGGCAAAATTCTGGTTTATCTGTGGCAATCTAGAATCTTTTCACCAGTAATACCTTTTTTCTTAATAGTCTCCCCATCCAACATGGGGTGAATTTCACAGTCCTTGATATTTGCAGTGGTCTATCTTGCATGTGCCACAAAGGAGTCCTGTGGCATATATTGTTTTTCCAAGATACAAGTTCTTGAGAGCTGGGGGATCATTTCACAGAAGGGGCCTTGTGTCTAGAAAAGCGTGAGTTAACAACTCCTCTGTTTAAAGTTTGAGACATACTTTATGTGCTTTAAGGCTTCTCATTTTAGACATAAGAACTCAAAATCTCTGCTTGATATCAGTGTCTTCCCACTAAACCAGTCAAGTTCATTGGGCTTCATATATAATAAGGACCATAAAATAGAAACAGTACTGGATGGGTATTCTCCCCCCCCCCATCATTCAGCTACTCTGGGTCACACTAAGTCTGGTTCTGGCAATAGCATACACTCTCCTTCATGCAAAGGAGAAGCATGTTGTCTTGGGTCATTCATCAAGTGTTATGCTTCCCAGCTATTGCAGCAACCACGGCACTGAATATCAAACCACAGTTCTTGATCTGCCCACAAGACTCCCTCAGTACAGTGGTACCTCGCAAGCCAAATGCCTTGGGCAACGGAAAACTCACAAGACAAAAGCGTCTTGCGAGTTTTTAGGTGCCCTGCAAGATGAAGATATTTTCATCTTGCGAGGTACATTTTCCCATAGGAATGCATTGAAATTTAATGCGTTCCTATGGGCCAAAAAACTCTGAAAAAGTCACTTACCAGGTAGGGAGCACGATCGGAGGACTGGCGGGGGTCCCCCACAACCACAATCACCACTTTCAGATGTCCCCTGGCAGTCCTCCGATGGTGCTGGGCAAGCCTCTGAAGACTTCCCCAGCACCATCGGAGGACTGGCAGGGGTCCCCCGCAACCGCGATCGTCGCTTTCAGAGGTCCCCCAGCAGTCCTCCGATGGTGCTGGGCAAGCCTCCGAAGGCTTCCCCTGCACCACTGGAGGAATAGCGGTGGTCCCCCGCAACTGCGATTGCTGGCTTCAGAAGCCTCTGAAGACTTCCCCAGCACCATCGGAGGACTGCTGGGGGACCTCTGAAAGCGACGATCGCGGTTGCGGGGGACCCCTGCCAGTCCGATGGTGCTTCCCCAACTCCCTACCTGGTAAGTGACATTTTCAGAGTTTTTTGGCCCATAGGAACGTATTAAATAAATTTCAATGCATTCGTATGGGAAAACTCGCCTCGCAAGACAAAAATTTCACAAGACGACAGGACTCGTAGAATGAATTATTGTTGTCTCGCGAGGCACCACTGTATTGGAGTAAATACTCTTCTTCGGCTATTGTTGTTTGCATGTACAGTGGTGCCCCGCATAGCGACATTAATCCGTTCCGGATTAATCGTCGCTATGCAAAAACATCGCTAAACGGATCGAAAAAACCCATAGGAACACACTGGGGCCTAAACTCACCGTTCAGCGAAGTTCCTCCATAGTGCCGCCATTTTCGCACCCTCGGTAAGCGAGGGCAGGGCGCGAAAACACTTGCAGCGGCCATTTTGGGCACCCAGCAGCCATTTTGGAACCGCCGATCAGCTGTTTTAAAAAACATCACAATGCGAAGATCGGTAAGCGAAACCCATTAAAACATCGCAATGCGATCACATTAGTGATCTAAAAAAATAGATTGCTATGCGGATTCGTTGTTAAACGGTGCGCTCGTTAAGCAAGGCACCACTGTATTCTAATATATGTGAATTAAGAAATACCCATTCCTGAACTAATGACATGCCCATTGTTACAATTTGTGTGCAAGTAAATGGCCAATATATTACCAGAAACTCTGGAAAAATTATTGTGATAATAGTACATTCTTGAGTACTATTGCCCAGGACATGGCCAGGGAAATATGTCTTCCCATACCAACCGGCCTACCCATTAAAATCAATAACCCTGTTCCAACTAGTACCTTTGTTGGAGGTGAGGCATGTTTTAATGAGAGATGGACTTGAGGTGCGGGAAGTAGTCAGTGGTGCCCCACATGTTTAATGTTCTGCCCTGGTACAATTTTGGTACAGTGGTGCCTCGCTTAACGAGCGCACCGTATAATGATGAAATCGCATAGCGATCCATTTCTTCGGATCACTAATGCGATCGCTCAACGTTTTTTTAATGGGGCAAAATTCGCTTTGCGAAGACCGGAAAGCGTTTCGCTTACCGATCTTCGCAAAACGAACCCCGACGATCAGCTGTTCGGCGGCCAAAATGGCCGCCGGAAGCTTGGAAATGGCCCCAAATGGCCGCGCGCAGTGTTTTCGCGCCCTCGTTAAGCGAGGCGAGGGCGCGAAAATGGCTGCCGGCCATCCTGAAGCATCGCTGAACGGTGAGTATTTGGCCCATTTGGAACGCATTAAACGATGTTTAATGCGTTCCAATGGAAATCCCTGCCCCGTTCAGCGATGCTTCAGCATAGCGAAGGTTAATCCGGAACGGATTAACCTCGCTATGCGAGGCACCACTGTATTTTCTCAGTAGTACGATAAAGGGTTTTTTAAATTATTCAACTGAGAATGTAAGCATCTTGGTTATATTAGACTCTGAATTTTAGCTATTTTGTAAATTTATCAATTTATACAAACTTTTATGTTTCTTGGGCTGCAGTCATGGGGAGGTGAAAACGTGAATTGTTGTATACAGAGATGTAGTGAATAGTTCAAGTTCTGTAGTCACAGTTGCATGTCACTTCCAATGCTCAATTACTTTGAATGGTCATTGTCCGACTGTAACCATGTTCTGTCTAGTTAGGCTTCTGTTTCTCCATGTGAGTACATGCACACTCACAAACTGGGCCTGGTCACAAAGACTAAACTGAATCAGTGAATGCAACCATGTATTGAGTGATTAAATGTGGGAAACCTCTGCTTAAGGTTGTAGCTGCATTCCGTTTCAGTGACGTGCACACACTGCTGGCAGAGGCAGCGTTGCCAATGGGCAGAGTAACCCCTCATTCTGCCTTTTCGTTTAGAGCTAGAGCATAAGATCGAAGACTTTCTTCAGCCAATCCAGGTTACGATTAGATAACTAGTATCCAATCTGAAGTCTCACAACATACGATGTAACTCTTACTAAGTCAATAAAAAGAGTTCTCAGGGCATTGCCTTGAGGCTCCGCTGGGTCAGACATCTGTGGTCGACTCTCTTTTGTACTTTCTCTAAGGCTAATTGCCTTCCTTTTGTTCCGTGATCACCCACATCTGGCACCCAAACAGGGACCATCAAATAAAGCCATCCAACAGAAGCTTCAAACAAACTTTTGAAAGGGAATTCAACATCACCTGAGGCAATCAACATAGCTCACCTTGCCCGGCACAGGTTACAGACACATCTTTACACCCTCTTTAGGATCCTAGGTAAAGGTTCTCCTTGACAATTTTTGTCCGGTCGTGTTCAACTCTAGGGGGTGGTGCTCATGCCCGTTTCCAAGCCATAGAGCCAGCGTTTTGTCCGAAGACAATCTTCCGTGGTCACATGGCCAGGGCGACTTAGACACAGAACGCTGTTACCTTCCCACCAAGGTGGTCCCTATTTATCTACTCGCATTTGCATGCTTTCGAACCGCTAGGTTGGCGGGAGCTGGGACAAAGCGACGGGCGCTCACTCCGTCACGTGGATTCGGTCTTACGACTGCTTGGTCTTCTGACCCTGCAGCACAGGCTTCTGCGGTTTAGCCCGCAGCGCCACCACGTCCCTATTTTAGGATCCTAGTGAGTAGTTAAAAAAGAAACAATGGAAAACTCCCTTACATCACTTCAAAAACAACATAAAAAAGACTTGATTAATTTGCTTCACAAACAGGGTCACCATGACGTTTCTGATTCAGTAGAGGAATTACTGCTGCAAATAAGTACAGTGATGCCTTGACTTAACGAACTTAATCTGTTCTGAAATGGTGTTCATAAGTCAAATCAGCATTTCCCATTGAAATGCATGGGAACGGGATTAATCCATTCCAACATTTCAAAAATCCGGGAGGCAGAGCCCGGCTGGGAAGCAAGTAGCGAGGACAGACCCCACGCCGGGAGGCAGGAACCTGGGAAATTCAAATGGTCTCCCGACCGGGCTCTAGCTCCCGGTGCAAGGTCCGTCCCCGCTGCTTGCTTCCTGGCCGGGCTCCGGCTTTCTGGCCATTTGCCGCATACAGCTGCACCAGTTTCCCAAATTAGGAGGCAAAGGAGGTTTCTGGTGGCTGCATTCCCTTTGCTGTCCCATCCCATCAACAATGCTGTGCCCTGGCATTTAGCCTGCTTGAGATCGCAAGGGCCAGCCAGTCTTCGCTGGTGGGTGAAGCCCGGGAGTCCTTCCCGCTGGGCGCCTTGCCTCCAGCTGAGGCCAGCAACGTCCCCGGGAGGCTTGCGAGAATGCAACCAAGGCAGGCTTCTCATTTGGACTGTTTTCCTCCAAGTTCACGTCTAAACCTCCCCCAAAGAGATGCAAGAAGAGGCCAGACCCACCCGGAGGCTCGCTTACTTACTACCAAGCCATTGCCGCACAGCCTGCCCACTCTCATGTGGGGAAGCCAGCCGGCATGCCCGCCCGCTCGTCCACCTGCCTGGAGCTTTTGCTAGAACTAGCGCCCGCCGCCGCCACAATAGCAAAGAATGAAAAGGGGCTGAACCGAGCCCAGCAGCCGCATGTGGCTGGCCTCGCCACTGCCACCCCCCTCCCCTGCTCGGTGGCAAGCCGCTAGGGAGAGGCTGCACTCATTGCGCCTGGGGTGTGTGTGTGTTCCATTTCTCAAGGCCAGCGCTGCAAGCCCCAGCGGGCTCCCGCAGTGAAGGCACTGTCCCATTTCCCCCTCTCCTGCCCTCAGTGAGACGATGGTGGGGCGCCCCACGTGGGCTAGCTCACTCCAGGAGGCAGAGCCTGGCTGGGAAGCAAGCAGTGGGGATGGACCCTGCGCCGGGAAATAAACAAATAAACATTTATTAGATTCTGATAAATAGGCCTAAATTGTCAGTTAATTTTATTTTTCAAAATAATATTTCCAGTTGTATATGAAAAACAAGATTTCTGTATAAAAAAATTGCCAAGTCATTGCTGTGTGTCAACAGCAAGCAAATACATGCAGGGATTATAAGTAAACCAAGGAATGTTTTAGAACAATGTTTTTATTGATAGGGATCAAGGTGCAAGTAAGAGTCATAACTACCTCCCTTCTTGCTGCTCCCTGCTGGATCGAGTTTCTAAGTGAAAAGGCTCACGTCCAGAAAGCTAATATATGGCAGGGTCCCTTTTTGCACCCAAATGAAGGAAAGGTGTGGGAAAACTCTGTGCTGGCTGTACACTTGCTATAATAGTACTCAGGTTCCTCATGGGTTGGTTACTTTCTGCAGCCTTCTTATCTCATAGGAGTGGGTAACATCTCAGCTCCCATGTCAGACATGACAACTTGAACCATCTAAAAGGCTGTCTTAGAGCTCTGGATAATGTAAGCAGGTATTTTGGTGGATTTGATCTACTAGCTTGCAGATAAGCATCCAAGAAATCTTGGCAAGGGCTTATCCCACATAGAGTAGAACCATTGAATCAATGGAACTTCCATGCCACTTTGACTGAACAAAGTCCATTGATTCAATTGGTGTATGTATCCTAATGAGGATTGACAATCAGATCAGGGCCTATGAGTTGGATCCAGAATCGACATGCTTTTCTCAATGACAAGTTTCTTTTCCAGCAGAGGAATCAGCTGGCACAGTGGAGGGAGACATATTTGTTTCCCTTATCTTATAATTCTCCATTGCCCTCTCCATCTCTTATGAACCATTAATGGATCTTCCAGAACAACAAAGCAGGTAGCACTGGAGACAACAAAAGGTGAGAAAAACTAGTAAAGACTGCCACCTCCCTTTTTTCATCAATGGCAGTTTTTTGAGCAGAACTCTAAGGAAATACCCCAGCAACAGACAAAAAGCTGGATCCTGTATAAATAATGTGAAAAAAAGTTTAATGCACCTGCTTTGAAGATAACAAAATTTATTAGAACCTGTGTGAGTAGGAACAAAGCACTCTCAACTGACTCCTGGAAGCTTAATCAAAGAGCAGTAGAATTTGTGTTATCTTTCACCTCTGTTCAGAGATAGTGGTAATTCACTTTCTTTCTTGGCAGGAGATGGGAGGCAAGAAGCCTCAAAGAGGGGAGGGTGTTCAGGAGAGTGGGGCACTGAGTCCTTTCTAGGCCAAATTCTGGTCTTCCACAAGCTAGATAAAATCACTGGACATGCTTGCTCAGTGGAATAGTATTTGAGGGTGAAAGCTCATAGAAATAGCAGGCTTTAGCCTAACATACTTTACTGGACTTGTTTCCATGTGGCTGGACTGTGTATCACCCCAATATTTGAAGATTTTGTTGTTTAGTCGTTAAGCCGTGTCCGACTCTTTGTGACCCCATGGCCCAGAGCACGCCAGGCCCTCCTATCTTCCACTGCCTCCTTGAGTTGGGTCAAATTCATGTTGGTAGCTTCGCAGACACTGTCCAGCCATCTCATCCTCTATCGTCTCCTTCTCCCCTTGCCTTTACTCTTTCCCAACATCAGGGGCTTTTCCAGGGAGTCTTCTCTTCACATGAGATGGCCAAAGTATTGCATCCTCAGCTTCAGGATCTGTGAATCCTTCCAGTGAGCATTCAGGCTTGATTTCCTGCAGAATGGATAGGTTTGCTCTCCTTGCAGTCCAGGGGACTCTCCTCCAGCACCACAATTCAAAAGCATCAGTTCTTTGGCGGTCAGCCTTCTTTATGGTCCAGCTCTCACTTCCGTACATCGCTACTGAAAAAACCATAGCTTTGACTATGTGGACCTTTGTCGGCAAGGTGATGCCTCTGCTTTTTAAGATGCTGTCTAGGTTTGTCATTGCTTTCCTCCCAAGAAGCAGGTTCTTTTTAATTTCGTGGCTGCTGTCACCATCTGCAGTGTTCATGGAGCCCAAGAATGTAAAATCTGTCACTGCCTCCATATTTTCCCCTTCTATTTGCCGGGGGGGGGGGGAATGGGACCAGTGGCCATGATCTTAGTTTGTTTGGTTTTTAATGTTGAGCTTCAGACCATTTTTGCGCTCTTTCGCCCTCATTAAAAGGTTCTTTAATTCCTCCTCATTTTCTGCCATCAGAGTGGTATCATCTGCATATCTGAGGTTGTTGATATTTCTTTCGGCAATCTTAATTCTGGCTTGGGATTCATCCAGTCCAGCCTTTCGCATGATGTATTCTGCATATAAGTTGAATAAGCTGGGGGACAATATACAGCCTTGTCGTACTCCTTTCCCAATTTTGAACCAATCAGTTGTTCCATATCCAGTTCTAACTGTTGCTTCCTGTCCCACATATAGGTTTCTCAGGAGACAGATAAAGTGGCCAGGCACTCCCATTTCTTTAAGGACTTGCCATAGTTTGCTGTGGTCCACACAGTCAAAGGCTTTTGCATAGTCAATGAAGCAGAAGTAGATATTTTTCTGGAACTCTCTGGCTTTCTCTATAATCCAGTGCATGTTAGCATTTGAAGAACAGCACCATGCAATTGGCAGGATCACATAAGTAATAACCACATAAACATGACAGTCTAACACAATGCAGCCAGAGATATTAAATAAAAATAAATAAATAAATAAACAAATTAGCAAAATGTAAGGAAAACATGCAAATCATCACCTGACTTCAAGGACAGATGTTATGATTTTTAGTTAGAAATTTTGTAGTGTAGGAGAAGAGATATGTAAGTCATTTCTTCTGAGTATTAAATGTTACTAGCTGGAAATTCTGTTTTTATTTGTTGACATTAACCTTAATATGTATTGATTATTATGTTTGTGCTTTTGTTTCCTGTTAGGACAAAATGAGTAAAAAAATTCAAGGAGGATCTGTTGTTGAGATGCAAGGAGATGAGATGACTCGTGTGATATGGGACCTGATTAAAGAAAAGCTGATCTTTCCATATGTGGCTCTGGATCTCCACAGGTAAATACAGACCTATATGTGGGAATTAGAAAATGTTCTGCATTGTCAAAAACTAGCTAGTTTATTTCATTGTGTTTGTCAAAAATTAGTTCTTATGTCTGAGTGAGGATCTCACATGATATTTTTTCATTCTTGGGGACGGTCCTCACATGGCTGTCACCTTTTCTGACAAAAACATCAGAAAATATATGTCTCCATATCAAGGAAAATGTGTGTGCCACATTATAACACAGAGATTGTTCAGTAAATAGTAAACCTCCCCCCATCTGTTGTCCTCCAGATGTGTTAAACTATAATTTCTGTCATCTCCAGAAAACAGAGCTGTTGGTTCTGATATCTGGGGATGGTGAAAGGTATAGTCCAGTACATCATAAGGGCACTGAACTGGGAGGGAACTTGTCAAAAATTTTAAACAGTAAATTTCTTAGTTTCTCAAAGCTGAAGTGGCCAGTGCCGTTTCCTTTAAAACGGGAGGTTCAGATAGGTTTGAGCAGAAAGTAGACCAGAAGGTAGGCACTGGGCAACTCTTCTTCATGGTTCCTTGTACCGGCAACCAGGATCCTTATTGCATCCTGCCATGTTCATGTATTTTAGGGTGGTTTATGTTTCTGTGAGTTGACTAGGAAAAATGAGTTGCCACCATTTTTTTCCTTATGTGTTCTCTCTGTCTTTTAAAACTCCATCATGGGCAGAAATCTAACAGTCTAGTCCTTCCTATAATTCCATCTCACTGGTGGGGGAAGCTCTCATATTCATATTGGTTGTTTTTTTTAACCAGCATGGGAATTCTGCAAGAAAAAAATATTAGTAATTGTATGGATAGTTGACTTTTCCCTATGAGCTAAACAGCCCTGACTCTAGTATCCCTCTCTGCGCCCTATGACCATTGGCTTGGTCCTGAGTAGCATTACTGGATGTGCATGTTCTGGCTACCCAGAATCCACTTTTGCTTCTATCTCATCTTTGGCATGGACTTCTAACTGTAAAGCTTCACTCTGCCAGACTACGTCCCAATTCCTAAAGCCCATGTCCATTGCACAACAGGCAACCACAGGGGTGGAAATAATGCCAGGTCATTTGCTGCTCCAAGGTTGTAGATAGAATACCAGTGAAAAGACTGCAGAAAGATAGTTTAAGTGCGTCAGTTGTAAATTAAACCCAGGAGTCCTTGACCTTTCCCCTAGTTCTCTTGCACTTTGCTTTTTTGTTCTGAATACTCAGTGACTTACCTAACAAGATGTACTACTTTGCTTCTGCTGACACTGTCAGAACATAACCTGTAGCTGATAACATAGCTAGGCAATCCTAAACACGTGAGCCTGGACGTTTTTTCTTACTTTTTACTTGAACAAGAAGGAGTATCTCCTAGAGTCAGCTTAGAATTGAACACTGTACAATATACAATTTGATGACTTAGTACACTGGTGATTCCAACAGACCATGAAGTTATGCATTTGTATATGAAGTGTCTTTTTTTTACTTTGGTGTTTTACTTTTTACTATTTATTTAACACAAGTGGGATTGTGTAACAAAATTGCTAAATACTATTATGCAATTTTCACTGCATAATCCGTGGTGATGTCATAAACCAGTGATGTTAATCTCCATTTTAATTTTAAAAGTTCCTATGCCCCCCCCCTTTATCAGGTTCCAAGAGGAGACTTAGGACAGGGTGGAGGCAGATCCATTCCTATTGGAAGATTGCAACCAATGCTCCCACTGCCAGATCAAGATCTCTGACAGCAAGTTCTGAAAGCAAAGGCTCTCCACTCATCCCTGTCCCTAGGTTCACTATTTACGCATGGCAGAGTTGCATAACAGGATTGCAGCCAATGTTGAAGGTGTATACTTGATAGGCATGTCTTATACGAACCTGTGGCTAGCTAAGTGGGCTGGAGAAACAAAAGGTAGCATCAGGGACTTATATCCTTGCTTTAACTTTGGTCTGTATTCATGTACAGTGCATTAAAAAAGAGAAAGGATTCTGAAAATTTAGATGTATTATCAATATCTAAAGGCAGTATGGGGTGTCTGCGCACAGTTGAGTGCTAGGCTTTACCAGGGAGATTCAATCTTTTAGTTTATTTATAATAGTCCGGTCCCATCTCAGGAAATATCAAGTAGCTTGGGTTGGCTATCTCTCAATTTGCTACTGGTTCACTAACAAATACTATGTAATAAATACCATGGAGTGGAATATATATTTCAAAGTCCAGTCTCAAGAAAGGTATTAATAAGATTGGTTTATGTGTTAGGTACCATCAAGTTGAATCCAAATTATAGTGACTTTAATAGAGTTTGCCAGGTATGTGAGATATTTAAGGAATGGTTTTATCATTGCCACCTCACTGAGTTTCCATAACTGAGCAGAGATTTGAACCCAGAGATTTGAATCTGTCATTCTATCCAATATGCCACACTGGTTCTGATAGAATTCATAGTTTTGCTTGTATCATAAAACCGCAATTCTGAATCCATTTGGTAGCCCCAGCTAGAGTTGGCTGAAGTTTCTGTTGTGCAGTTACGTAAGGGGTAATTTTTAGCAACAATTTGCCATAAGTCAAGAAATATCCATAAACCTTATCTGTTCCAATACAGCGTGCAACAAGTAAGGTCTACAAAGATTTCTTAACAGTAATTTAATTCCAAAAGTTAAACTGTTTGCATAACTCCGTAACAGGATTTCAGCCTCTGGATCAATGGAATGTACATAAATGTTGATTCACCAGTTAGCAGTTGATTCAGTGGTTCTAGTCTGGTTGAAACTGGTAATTGTATTTAGCTCCCTGTACACTGAACCATATAATATGTTCAGCACCACATATCGAATTGTTGATGGGAATGTTCCTTGTTAAAAACAAGGATTTTAATATATAGTAAACTTATAGTTCAATCTCTGAATCATTATGCTAACCTTTGGGATTGTCTATATGCAGAATATCATTTTATTCCCAGAGTGTTTGTGTCTGATTAATCTTTCACTATCTGTAGGAAATAATGGATTTTTCTGCTGATTTTTGATATCTCATGGTTAAGCCATTATTTTAATTGCCCGTGCCATCTTCCATCCTTTTTGTCACTAATTTTAAACAATTAGTACACAGTATCCTTTTTTTATATAACACCATAGATGGGCTGGTAAAATATGTGACTAATGATCATGTTTTGGGGACTTATCTGCAGTTATGATTTGGGTATAGAAAATCGTGATGCGACAGATGACAAAGTCACTGTGGAGGCTGCTGAAGCGATAAAGAGATATAACGTAGGAATCAAATGTGCCACAATTACCCCTGATGAGAAGAGGGTGGAAGAATTCAAGCTGAAGCAGATGTGGAAATCTCCAAATGGAACAATAAGGAACATTTTGGGTGGCACTGTCTTCAGGGAAGCCATTATCTGCAAAAACATCCCCCGTCTGGTATCTGGGTGGGTAAAGCCCATCATCATTGGCCGTCATGCTTATGGAGACCAAGTAAGTATCTCAGGCAGTTTTGTGTTGTTGCCTCTTGTGTCAGGCAAGGGAAACTTTAACTGGATAAGAATGCAAGAGGCAATATGCAATAAAAGAGAGAACAGGAGATACCTACAGTTTATGACTGATTGTCCAAACATGTGGCAGTTCCATATTTAAAGATACAGTAGATTTGGTCAAAAAGACTGAGCTATAGTTCCTGTTAATGATTATAGTCGACCGGGCCATGTCAGAATTTGTGCCAGCTGCAACTAAGGTGGCTGGCCTTAATACAGAAAGCATTTCAAAGAGGTGCTGATTTTCCTATCCACCCTCTCCACGTCTGGTAAAAGTAGAATAAAAGTAAACTGGTAAAAGGAGGATGAAAAAAAAAACATATAGTTTGCAGAATTCTGATAGAGTGATATGTGCAGGTTGCAGGTCTTAATCTCAACCAATGCTGCCATTTCATTTGCTGTTCTTCCTTTGCAGTACAGAGCCACAGACTTTGTTGTTCCTGGACCTGGAAAAGTAGAGATGACGTATACACCCAAAAATGGAGGCAAACCGGTCACTTATTTGGTTCACAATTTTGAAAGTAGGTGTTCTATGGTAAAAGAAATATTGATTTTAAAGTTATTTTGAGCATGGTAGTTCACAAAGATGCATCTAAGAAAGAGCTGTGGAGAAATAAAGGCAAAATCCTTTTGCTGGCATAACTCAAATGGCTTAACTTTTGAAGGTGAATTGATGCAAGTGATGAAGTTGGTTGAGGGTGTTCTTTGTAGCACACCAAATTATGTGACTGATAGACAACAGGGAGCATCTCTGTTGACTTTGTAACTTGCAGTGCGTGCAGCAGGATTTTGGCCAAGACATCTTAGTATTATCTCTTGTACAGATAAAACAGTTGGAATGTCAGTACCTAATAATTAGATAAGTAATGATCCTCGCAACTCAAACAAGGAATTGGAAGCTGGAGAACAATGGGTCTAATCTGCAGAGAAAAGGAATTGCTGGCAGTCCAGGGTGTTGGCTAGAAGACCCTGGTCTGCCACTGTTTCTTGCTCACTGTGGCCCTCCAGTCAAACTAGGGCAGTGGTTCCCAACCTTTTTCAAGATGCGACCCCCACTTTGTACTAGCCAAGTAACCAGCAACCTTCCCGCCATGTTTGCATAAAAAGCCATTTTTAATAGGGTAAAGTCATCCCTTTTCAGAAAGTAGAGACTTCTTTCTTTCTAAAGGACTACTTCACACATACCCATACACACTAGCTTTAATACCCGACTCTGAAAGGTCAAGGAAGAAATTATTTAACAAAAGCTGCAACACATATAAGGCAACCTGTGATTCCCCCCCCCCAAGAGAGCATTTTGTGACTCCCTTGGGGGTCCCGACCCCCAGGTTAAGAAACACTGAACTTGTGACAGACCAACAGCCCACAAAGTGTGAGGGGAGGGGCAAAGCAGTGTTCCTGTTCTGTATGTTCTGCCAACTGTTAGCGTTGTTCCCACTGTCCTCTTTTTTGTCAGTGGCAAAGGCACAGCCTGAGAATTCTGATCTAAGATTGCTTCATTGTTCCACAGGTACTTGCAAAACTTTCAGTGATTGTGAAATTGACTAGGGCAATTATGAAATCTGGTTGGAATTACAAGTGCTTCGGTATAGCCAGCGAAACAGTATGGTTTGGGGTAAGGTTATCATAATTATCATCTTAGAACTGCAGAGCTGGAAGGGACCTTATGGATCATCAAATCCAGTTTCTGTGAAGGAGGCAAAGTGGGGGAATTGAAGTCCCAACCTCTGGTTCCACAGCCAGAGTCCTAAACCACTGAGCTATCTTTGAAAGATTTAAGGATCTTATAGACCCTGAGTCTTGGTCCCCTTTACCAGCTGGAATCAAGAAATTCTCAAGAGGAAAAGTGGATATAACTCTGAGGAACGGGCTGCAGAAATCCTGAAAAACACACACTCTCCTGTCCAGCCATTGCTGTACTTGGGTAGGCATTTTGTGCCTAGACTGGCACCCTACTCTGTGATTTCCTCTTTCATTACAAAGTGCAGCCTCCACACTTCGGATGGAAGGGAACTTGAGTAACATCAACTGCTCAGTCATTGACTCTGTGATTGCTGGCATCAGCTAGTCTAGTCTAGGCTGGTCAACATCTAGAGCACCAGGCCAGGTAGCAGCAGTTGCTCACACACAGAGATGGAGGTCACAACTGCACTTTCAGGAAGGACCAAAGTCACTTTGCAGCAACTTTGGTCGTTTCAGAAGAGACAAGCCCTGGTACAGTCTTTAAAAGTAAGCCACACTGGGGCTTCCAGCTGACTGGCCAATGCTGGGAAGCATCCCAGCTACCAATAGTGTCAGGTCAATGCTCAGCATGTGGCACGCTGGAACCATTAGAGCTGCCCCCTCAGACCTAGACCAGTGCTGCTGCCCGGTCAGCGCTGGGGAGGTTTCCCAGCCACCTCAGCACTAGCCAGCTGGTGACATTGTTTGTGCTGTCAAGGATGGCAACTCCAGTGGTTTCTTTTTCCCCAAGTGGACAAGGTTGCTCTGACCCCAGCACTGTCAGCGGTGGCGGAAAGCCTCATAGTGTTAGCTGTAAGGATTTGGATTAAAGCAGGACTTATTTTCAGGCAGTTTCACACCTATTTTCAGATAACCTGCAGTTTAAAAAAAGCCCCTGTATTTCTGCCCAAACCATATAGAAGAGACCTCCCCTGAGTCTCGCTTGACCATGTTTCTCTGAGTTATTATAGATTCTTTAACTAAGTCTTTAACTAAGACGCTACCATGACTGATAGAGTCATCGTAGAGACTTAGTTAAAGAGTCTTTAACTTTGTTACACAGTTACTAAGTCTCTAGAGGAAATTTGAGCATAGAAAGCTGCCTTGTTCGGGCCATTGGCTCAATTAGTCTAATATTGTCAACTCCTAACTGACAGCTGTGGCTCTCCAGGGTTTCCAGCAGGATTCTCGCTTAGCCCTACATGGAGATCCCTGGTGGTTGTTCTACCAAGTCCTAACCTAGCTGACCCTGCTTAGCTTCTGAAATCTATTGAGATCTGTGTTCAGGGTGGTTGAAGGAAGACTTTTACTTTGGAATAGCCTCATGACTGTTGGACTATTTTCTCTGTAGTGCCAAAGCACCTACAGTGAGTAGCAGCTTGCTAGCGGCACAGGACACTTGAGATGGGGGAGGAATATCAAAGGAAGCATTACCCTTCCTTGTCGCACAGTGTCTCTTTTTATTTGCATATACTGTACATCTAGATATAAAATGCATTAAAAGGCCTAAAATTTTAAAAAAAAACATCCCTTCAGAATGTTCCCCCCAGCCACCTTGGGTCCTTTTCAAGGAGAAAGGCAGGGTAAAAATATTTTAAATAGATAAAATAAATAAACAAGGAAAAGGAAAGCATAGATGGGACTTCTGGTACATAAAAGGGAGTGATGTTACCAGTTCTCATGTTATAGGCCAAAAGTACTGTCATTATGTTTTTGTTACCCAAAGAGTAACAAAAGTATGTGACATTAGTTGTGACATGTTTCTCTTAAGATTCATGAGGGAAAGAGGGATAGCAAAAACATTTGAGCTCATTCTGACCTACAGCCTCTCAGTCTCTCTCACTGACCTCCTCTGTATGGTGATTTTGAGGATTCTTTAGAGAAGTACAACAGCTTGAATCCTTTGACTGTATTCTAAATGATAGTACTGTAAACATAAAACATAAATGGTTGTTGTGGGTTTTTCAGGCTCTTTGGCCGTGTTCTGAAGGTTGTTCTTCCTAAAGTTTTGCCAGTCTCTGTGGCCGGCATCTTCAGAGGACTGGAGACAGAACTCTGTCTGTCC